AAATAGTAAAACCCCAAACAAAACACTATGAAAGTATAAAAATATATATTTATAGTAAAAATACCAGCAATACATTTTTATGTTAAAAAATGAATTATGACCAGCAATACCTTTCAGCTGAAGACATACAATTGCGTTCAAAATATATTTAGTTGAAGCCATAAAATTGTTCAAATTATTTACATTTCGACATTAAATAACACTTAGTTGATATGCCGCTAAACAAAATCAAACAACCAACATAAAAGAACTCTTTCATGACATTAAGCCATATAATTTCCTACAATTTCTTAAATCAAACTGTATTTCAAAATATAATTTCAACAAAACGACAGCGTAAAACACATCATCGTCTCTAATAATTTATGTCCATACAAACATGTGTATGCACAAAAGCTGAGTATCTTCTTCTATGTATTAAATCGTAAAAGCAAAATAACCTATGATATTTTTATTAATTTAAAACACCCAAGAAAATTATATTTCGGCAATAAAGGATTCATAAGATGTTGATATGCCGTTAAACAAATCAATCAATCAATCTTTATTGATAGAACTCCGACCTTTTTCAAAACAGAAATAATGATCTGGAATTGGAATGAAAACTGTTATATACTGTACCTATGACAACTAATGGGTATGTTCCAATCCTCATAAATACGTTGGACACTATTGTAAGTGGGAATAATATGTTGTCTAAGTTGTCCACCACTAGTAGTGGTTTACCTACTTCACGCCGCTGGCGAGTATTGTCTTTTGTTGATGTTATAGCGATTACCATTTCATTTTCCAACCTCCAATTTGATTATTCCTCATGCGGTAACCTTTCCTGGGTTACAACAAAAACAGTGATAGCGCCTACCCCGTATCCATCATAAAAATGAAAACATTCTTTATCAAGTGTTCCAAGAAATAGGCCCTAGAGATGAACCTTTCCAAAACAGAAATAATGATCTGAAAACGGAATGAAACAGTGATAGCACCTACCATTAAATATCATGATGTAGAATTAGTAAATATTGAACGCTTTAAATATCTCGGTATATAACAAATTTATTATAGAGGAAAAGGTAATTGAACTTCGAATAGACGTAGTTTTGCCCAACACTGCAAATTACTACAAAACCAAAATAATTACCTGAAAAGTCGAAACATGTTGCAAAATAGCTTAGTCAGATCGAAACCTTCATATGGTTGTCATCCATAGCTCCAATCCATTCAGAAATATCTGTTAGTTGTATACAACCGCTTTCTAAGATCAATGGTGAAAAATGGCTTTGAGCGAGTGAAGTCTGTGAGTCTTTGAACAGAGGCTATTTAAGAATTTCCATGCTTAGAATATTATTGCCACATACGGTCATTTACCTTTAGCTCCTTGATAAGATCCAAAGAAGAATCTGCTTGATTGGTCATGATCTGCCAGCTCAGTTTCAGTCACTTTCCCATCGCCGTATCTTTTTTATAAATATTTTCATGGTAATTGTTTGAATGAGCTCTTCACTATGGTACCTAGAGATTTTTTTTCATTTAAGAGCAACACTAAACTGGCGTCGAGATTTCATCAATTTTCAGTTGAGTTTGCTTGATGTAACCATAAATTCTATGCGAACAGTTTCTTCTCTCGCACTTCTCGCTTGTGGAACTCTCGTTTGGCTCAATGCTTCCCACCCAACTTTAATCTACAAAAATTTAAATGCCATGTCAGTCGCTATCTACTGTCCACCTGATTACTTTCACTATTCTCTTTCTGCTCATTATTAATGTTTCTGTTCTTAATTCTGCCACACCCTGTAAGCCGTTGTGTTTTAGTGTCATTACTGCCTTGCTTGGGGTGATTTCGATTTTAAAAAAAAGTAAAAAGAGAGAAAAAATGATGATGACTTGAGTTTTCAGATTTATGTTTTAGTTTTGTAGCAATCTGCGGTGTTGGGCGAAGCTACCTCTGGCGCAGTCTATTCTATGTTCAATATTTTTTTCTCCTATACTAAATTTGTTATAAATGATCCATACACCAAGGTATTTGAAATGTTTGATATTAATTAATTCCACATACTGAATTTTAGTGATGGATTCAGTGTAGGTGTCCATCACTGTTTTCATTCCAATTCCAGATCATAGTTTCTGTTTTGAGAAGGTTTATCTTGAGTCCTATTTCTTGGAACACTTGGTAAAGAGATATTGATTTTCCTTCGATATATGACGGAGGACATTTGAAAAGAAATATATTAAAACAGCCCTGTGGGTGGCCTGTCTTTGGTTGAATTTGTTTTGCATTTTTCATGTTAATGTTTGATCGCAGGTCGAAGCCAAAATTTTTGAAAGTTGATTTTCTAGATAGACAAGTACGATCTCATTTGGAAGATCGTGTCACGCGATAATTCTAATTCAATTCTTCCTATTTAATCCTAAGTCAGGATTAGCAGATATCTAGCGTTACTCTGGAGTATTTTTTTTTTCAAGTAAGGAAAAAAATAAAGGTTTTTACTGAAAAGGTGTAACAAAAGATGTTTGGGATATCATTCTGACTTGTTCACTGTCTCGTTTTCATTCTGGAAAAGACAATTGTCTCAGTGAGAAAATCCAACACACTTTTTTTCTTCCGTTAAGTGATCAAACCAGTGACGTCACTGCCCTAGACTCGGCACAAATAACATGAGAGGCCGGAACAAGTGACGTCACATTTCCACACGCGGAAAAATATATATATAAAGAAAGCATTCGACTTTTTTTTCACATCGTTGCTGTAAATATATCAAGTAAGTGCCTTTCTTTTTGTTTTTCTGATGGGTGTAAAATGCGTTGTTTTGATTTTCTGTTACGTTAACCGTCAGCCCGCAGGTTTACTTGGACAAGTGGATTACAGATTTACGATTTGATTGAACGTCTGATAGATCAATATTTTCAATAACAAGAGTTGTTTATCTACTTGTACAGATATCTATGACCAAAGATAAATATGAATAGATTTAGATAGATAGATAGATAGATAGATAGATAGATAGATAGATAGATAGGAAAAGAGGCCCGTATAAAAAGACATATATGACAGAATTATCGATCTATCATTGACTAACATCGCTAAGTAACACTATTTATATGTTTCTAAAATAATTTTTTAATATGTTCGTTTCCCGTGTATATTTTATAAAAGGGCTGAAATTGAAAATTTGACATTTAAGTAACGTTTGTAATATTGACAAATAACAATGAACCTGAATTTAAAATCTTCTAATTCTAAAATCACGCACATCTTCGACTTTAGAAGCGGTTTCTTTATCTTCCAATTCAGTTTAAAGATTAAGTACTTACTTTCGAGGATTTTGTCAAATATTTCTATCGGTTCTTTTATATTCATTTTTTTAAAGTATTTCTGTAAGTATTTTTAACATTTGTCCTTATTTCATCGTTTTCAGTGATCTTTGATATTTCTAATGATCTTATGTTTGTTTTTTATAACTGTGCGTTTTAAATTCTTTTCGCATCTTTTTTTTTTTTTTACATTAAACTGTTAGTAGGGCAAATATGTTTGCGGAACAATTTTCAATTCACATTTATTTATTTTAAATAACCCAACGAACCTGATCATCACTTTCAACAAAACTCGTCCAACGGATCCAAAATACTTTTCCTCGGATTTCTGAATTTATTTTTATAAATTGTTTTGCGTCCATTTCAAAATGTAATTTGTACAAATATTTATCAATATTTAAAAAATTAAACATTAAAATTTGGCGAAGAAAGTATTTTCCATTAAAATTATCAATTTAAGCAGTGTTTTGCTCAGGACAGTGTTGAATCAATTACGAAACTTCACGGCTGGGACCCAATATGACACTTACATAGTAGCAAACCATCCATTTTCTCTCCGTATTCCATAGGTGAGGAGTAAATTCCACTCAAACAGCTTCTTTCCGTGAACCATTTACCTGTGGAACAGAATCCCGAAAGAATGTTTTCCAGACCACTACAATCTTAACCTGCTCAAGTCTAGAGTCAACCATTATCTTCCCTTCCTATTCATATAAACTACACTTTAACGTAACCCTTTACCACGAGTGCCCCCTACCACAGGGCTTTGTACTGGGTGAATATTACTGTAAAAAAAATAAAGAAGTTTAAGTTTCAGGACCTCTAATCCCAGAGGCGCCCCTGAAGCAACTTTTTTTAATGAGTGAATATTTTTTTAAAAAATCGATGGATTTGTTTTAAAGTGTTTGTTATATATTGGCAGTTGGATCCACGAATCTATTGTTGCTGGTTGCGAAGAGGATCCTATATCTGTTAAAGCTTCAGAGCCCCCAAAATGCAGATCCGTCACTGCCTCAGGAGCAGGACTTAGTAAAATTATAAGCGACTAGTCAATATTTATAGAACTGCATAATAGTTTACAAAATTGTTCCTATCGACGACATTAGTCGATGTTCGAACCCAGATAAAAGTTAGAATTTTGATCTGCTGATTCGTGATCCAAACAGATCCTCTCCAACTTTCAAGATGGAAACATCTTTTTTTTTTTTTCTAATTCTTTTTTGACTCATCCAGATAAATATTAACCATACCTTGCCGCGGCGCAACAATTAACATTTCGTGGAGTATTCTTTTACACAAGTTGGGAGCCTACTGAGCGAGAGTAATTTCATCACACAGACCAAATTGGCTCACTATTCTAAAGGGTTCGATCCTCAATGAGTTCCCCACTACTATGTCGTTGGGCAAGATTAAATTAAAGTTCTTTTGAAACCAAATCTTTCTTTATTACCACAGAACTGCTTCCTTCAAATGTGGCAGCCAAAAAGGTATTGGATGCGAAATTCTCACTTATTTTTTAACTATGAAGGCGACAAATTGAATATACACGTTGAGTGTTTTTTATCATCTGAACGACATATATCATTTATCTATTAGAAACGATCTAGCGATAAGTATATGTATTCTAATTAGTTGGCCATCTATCCCGGTTTGTTCATTATGTATGTATGTATGTATGTATGTATGTATGTATGTATCTATCTATCTATCTATCTATCTATCTATACACGACTATCTGTTGAAAATTTCTCGCCCTAACCACTAGAAGATGGAAAAGTCCGTTTTCATATATCTACCCTAGTCTGCTCATATCTATCTATCTATCTATCTATCTATCTATCTATCTATCTATCTATCTATGTATCTATCTATCAAAAATTTCTCGCTCTGACCAAACGGAGACTTTAAAAAATAGATAATAGCATTCCGATGTTTTATTATTTGGTCAGATTTTCAGAGGTGGGCCGAGCCGATACATTTTTCTGCACTCCCACTGACCTCAGTCTTATCATATCAATTTCACTTTGTTCATAGCAATTTCTTCTTAATTTGTCAACATATTTATCTAGGAGAGACCATCATTTTCCATCGCTTCTATCTCTCTCTTTATCTCTCGGTGTGAACACTCGTGTGTATGTGTGATTATTTTTTCTCACCATTTTTTTATGTGCCGTGTCCTTTCAGGACGTTGGTAATCATGTCATCGTAGCTCTTAATAAATTTTGTCTTTTTGTTATTTCTCCTAAACCTTGATCTACAATCTATTTACACAAGTTTTTAGGTAGTTTATGCATTGTTTTCCTCTGTCCATCTTGCCTCCAATATATCCTGTGAGTATCAAATTTCCCAAGCCCTCTTTCCTGATTATATACCCTAGAAATCCCAAATTTCTCTTCCTGATGTTATGTGTAAGTGAACATGGACTAAATTTGTTATTGCGGTACGACTACACAATACCAACATAAATTTAAAGTCTTAAAGAACGAAACGCGTCACAAAAAAACTTTTTTCCACTTTGTCATACATTTTTCCGCAATATTGTTTTTGACATATAAAAATATATATCGTTATATATATATATATATATATATATATATATATATATATATTATAATGATCTTATTGATCTTATTCCAGTATGTTTGTGGTCATTTGTGCTTACTAATTTAACAACGAGCGGCAAATCGTAGCACGAATGTTTTTGCTGCAAAACTGATTAAATACTCTGACTTGGAGAATAAAGCAATTTAAAGGCCAATCTGCTATTTTCAGAGACATTTTTAAAATCGTTTCATATTATAAAAATGTCGAATTAAAACATATCACTGTTGATTACAAAATCCGTTTTTCCTTATTAATATTCCTCCGTTACATCTCAATGACAATTATTTAATAATAATGAATAATAATAATAATAATAATAGTAATAATAATAATAATACTTATAATTAACATTTATCAAGATTTGTTTTCATTGTTTAAAATTTTAAATTAAATAATTTTAAAGATTTTAAAATTCAGTTTCAAAATATTGTTATCAAGTAAAACTATATTTACTAATCATATATTATAAAGCTTATTACAATCTGACGACCCAAATATTTTTAAAAGTATTTTTATTTGTTTTTGTATTTGAATATACGTACAGAATTTGTGAAGTATGGATGGACAAACCGATAACTCTATCATTAAAAGGTCGCGCGTTTTAAGGGTTATAAACTTTATTGTCTACTTCACTATACATAACTATGTACACGTTCGATGGCCAATCCGCCATCAATAAATCTATTAAGATGTCAGAAAAACAAGACACCATGGTTAAGTAATGTTTGTATGCAATTTTTTATGCTATGAGTCAGTAATATTTGTTTCAAATCAGATTAATTTAACTTTAAATTTGCTAATTTTCCTCAAATGACGTTTCAGAAATATATATTTTGCTTTTGCAAGATTATTAAAACTGAGAATTAATTTTTGTTTATAAATCTGTCAAAATAGCCGATTTTATCGATTTTACTGAAAATCGATCCCGATCAATATAATTTTTATCTGAAATACACTACAGACAATTTTTCTGACTGGACATGGTAAATTTTAAATTCTTTAAGTTTCAATTAAAGCTAAAATGAATGCTTCAAGAAAGATTTTTTCATTTTTAAAAATTAATTTTAAACCTTACGTATACCGAATTAATGAAGGAAGCAACATGACACTGAGCGGAGATTCGCTGATGGCGTCTTTCAGATGCTAATGGTAACATTAACCGTTTCCTTATAAGGAAACATTTGGCATTCATTGAGCGAGCAGCCAGTACTGTTTTCTGTTGAAATTTATTAAATCCTTCTCTTAAAATAATTTTTCAATAAAATAAGTTTTCAGTCCAATAACTTTTATCACTCTTTCTAAATAAAAACATGTACACAATCTAATCAGGCATATGCACACACACATGTTTGCATATATACACACAGATTATATATATATATATATATATATATATATATATATATATATATATATATATATATATATATATATATATATATATATATATATATATATATATATATATATATATATACGTTGTGCGCGCCTTTATTATAGGCAGCTTCAGGTCGGAATGAGAGACGAACCTGTTTGAGGAATGTATGTTAAAATATGGAGAAAAGGTAATAAAGATCCTTATCAGATGCTGTGTCCAGATTTTTCTTTCTCGGACTGAAGTTAGCCCTGAACGAAACAACAATAAAAATAAAACCAGAAACAGAAATATTTTTTAAAAATTGCACAAAATGCCCAATGACTTACATCAGTGAAAAATCTAGTAATCTAAAGAAAAGTCAGTTCATTAAAAGGCTAATTGAAAGCTTCCTAGGTTTGTAACGATCTCTGTGGCCGAGCGGTCTAAAGCAGGCAGGATCACCTACAAAATCACACACACACACATATATATATATATATATATATATATATATATATATATATATATATATATATATATATATATAATTCTGTGACATCTGTTATTCCGTCTGTGACATCCTCTAAAATAGCCATACATTGACCGACCCAAACCAAATTTGGGGGAGAAGTACAAACAAATAAGGAGATACAAAGTACAGTTATTTTTACCAAGGTGCGTAGCTTAGTACAATAAATTTTTATTAATCTTTTGGGAAAATTTAAAAGTTTTATTATTTATCATACAAAATAATCCCACTATTTTAAAAAATATTTAATAGTTAAAATAAAAAAAAAATACTTATTTCCTAAAAATGCATTATTGTTTTTTGTATATCATTTCTTCAAGTTTTTATATACAAGAAATCAATTTCCAGATCGCCCTGCGTTTGTGAGAACTATTTTTTTAAAAATCACAAAAGGTCAAAAACGCTTCAAAAAGTTGGAATTTGGTTCAAGATTAAGAAATCCTAGCAATTTTATCCTTCGCTGTTAAAAAAGAAAAATTGAAAAAGAGAAATTTTCTTAAAAATATTGTTTACCATGAATTCTTAATAAATTCAATTCAATTAAAGACCTTATTGAAACTTGAAGTAGGGTTTTTGATCAAATATTTTTCCAAACAAATCAGCTTATCCAAATTTCATCGATTGTTTTGCGAAATCTTACGAAATGTAGAACTTATACATCCCGACAATATTATTAGTGATAACTTCAACAATGCTAAATGTGAGGACTTCAACACGTTCTAGTATATATATATATATATATATATATATATATATATATATATATATATATATATATATATATATATATATATATTGTCTTTTTACAGATATATTCTATCTAAAATTTTACACACACTTATATGGATCAAAAATCTGACAGAATGATAGGATAAAGAACAAATATGAAGCGTTTAGAAATCTAACATGGTTTGCTTTTATTAAAGCTTTCTCATAGAATGAGATATCGAAAAAATTCCCGGTATTTTTATTTTTGTGCTGTTTGATTTTCGTTGAATTAATATAGAATTATGTTGCTAAAAAAATTAAGGTTTTTATTTTTAATCCATTTTTATCTACTATAATAACATTTGAAGTGATAGTGATATATATATATATATATATATATATATATATATATATATATATATATATATATATATATTTTCTTTTCTTCTATGAATAACTAGATTTTCGGTAAATTCCCTCTTTGAATAGAAACGCACGTGTTTGTGCATTATGTTTGAGGATTTCATCAAAACAATCTCCCCGGTAATGTAGATAAAGAAATGTCATTTTTTTTGTGTGTGTGTGTGTGTGTTGACCGACACAGGTGAAGCCAAAAGTATTTGCCACAATTACTTAAGTCAACAATCCCAGCCAATATCAATGCCGGTTCAACAAAGGATAACAATATATAATATGTGATATGTCGGAACTTGTTATTGTAGGAAGTCGAGGTAATTGCAAGGTGCGGCAATCAATGTAAACAATTTAATCATGATTTATCGATAACTTTTAAGATCCGACAAGACAACAACTGCCACCCTTTCTGCGAGAAAGTCCCAAAACAAGCCTAAACAGGCGATAGGGGTCAGTCTTCTCGCCATAGTAATAACAGTAAAAGATTTAGAATTATGCTTTGTTGTCTGCGGCAATTTTATTTATTTCATTTTTATGTTTTAGCAACTCTTCCCATCAGAAAAATATCTTGTGTCGTATTCTGCATTAAAAAATAGACATTCACCTTAAGTCTGAACAATAAAGTGATAAGAATTTAAAGTTATGTGTTTTGGCACTGACGCCAGTGGGAAGAGACAACTATCAAAAAATACTGTATTTGAACTTAATATATTTTCGAACATATATAGCATTCTAAATGAACAAACAATTTAGCTTTGAAATCTTGCCGTCTGAGACGTGACGGGTACCTAACTAGTATTATTAGAAAACATTATTCCGACTCGCCTAAGTAGTCATTTTTATGGCAGTGAATGTTGTACAATTTCCCCTGGGATGAAGTAAAAACTAGAGGCAACAGAAATGTGGTTCTTCAGAAGGATACTAAAAAAAATTATGGACGAAGTTAGTAAACAAAAATGAAGTCTTTAAAAAATGGCAACAAAAAAACACTTATACTCAAAATCAGGAAAGGACAGCTGAAATTGCCTTGGACATATAATGAGGACGGGGGGTTGGAAAACATAACCCTCACGGGGTATACTGAGGGCAAAAGAGGGCAAAAGAGATAGAAGGCATCGAACCATTTACCTTTTACTGGATGGCGAAACGACTGTGGGGTCCTTAGCAAAGGGAGAAAAACTGCTAAGAGCCACACGAGACAGAACGTTCTGGAGAGCTATGATCGCCTATGTCCTGAACGGACACGACACGTAGAAGTGACAACCACTTCCGTTTAAATATATAGATTATTTCGTAACATAAAATGGGGGGGGGCTATGATAAGCATAGCGAAAAAAATTACAAAGGGTTGACAATAGTTATTTATTAAATGTACTCTGATAAGTAAATCATAACTATAGGACACTTACTAGTATTACTCTATGACAAGCTGGTTTACAGCCATATAACATTGAAACACAGGTTCCCATACGCTCACCGAAGTTAAGCACCGTCGAGCCTGGTCAGTACCTAGATGGGTGACAGCTTGGGAATACTTCACTGGTGTAGAAGTTCGCTTCTGCCGGGTAAGTTTTGAAGAATAAAAGCTTGAGCACCAGGCGGCAAAAAAATATAAGCTCCATCCCCCCCCCCCCCCGGCAGTACTTCTCGTGGGTTTTGTTGTCGAATTTATTGAGGCATTTTCAACAGAGAAAGTGCCGAGGGGGCTTGGGTAAGTTTTGCACGGTTAAGGCCATTTAAAGTAACCTTATGTCACATTTAGTTGTGATGTGGGTTCGCTGAAAATAAACATTGGGAATACCAGATAAGCTTGGATGTGCGGATGGTATAATGGATAATGACTTGAAATTGTTAATCGGAGAGCCGAGTTCCAGTTTCATTTGGGTTTGTTATATTCAGTTACGCGCAAATACCCTTATGGAAGATATAAATCCACCCCTTTTCCCCCAGGTATGGTTTGATTAGTAAGACTTGTATCACTAAAATCATTATTGACGAAAAAAAAATTCTTACAATCTAAAAATAGTTTATGACTTTAAATAACCTGTAAAGTGTTGGTAAGTCGTAGAAAACGAATCAGTCAATCAATCCATGACAAGACGATCCTGCTTATTAATGACAAAACAATTTAAGTTGAACAATTCACTGAGGAACCAAGAATGTCAATATAATAGAGATCAAATTCACAGGAAATGACTGACCGCGAATTAACTTTGAAATCTTTAAATAAAACCAGGATCGAGTCATACTTTTAATGTCTTTTTTCTTCATTGAGTTTTCTTTTGTATTTTTGTACATATCTTCCTTTCTCTTCTATGAATTGTCTTTATTACGTGAACTTGAAATATAGAAAAGACTATTCTTAGAACACAGATTTGTGTCAACAATTCATGCTGCTATTCTGGTTATATTTTAAAGGCCATAAATTACGCAAAGAAGCCTTAAAGAAGGACAAATATAGATCAGAACTTTTGTCATTGTAGCAATCCAGAAGAGAAAGTGGATAATAAATGCGGGCAAACAGCTATTTTTATGAATGTGACCCGAGCAATCAATGTGAACAATGAAAACTGTCCACTTAGCCTTTTAAATGAAAAAAAAAAACTATTGGCAATTAAATCCAGAAAAAGAAAATATTACCTGTTTAATCGACATTAAGTCAGACAGTTATTTAGCATCTTTGATTGTTTGTCGCTCCAATCAGGGAGAAATCAGTTGAACTTTGCCATATTTGGTCAAAAACATTTTTTCGTTCATTTCTTTTTGTGTCAACTAAAACGTAATTTGATGAAATTTGAATATTTTTTTTTCAAATCAATTTGATAAAATATGAAAAAAAAATAGAAACTGTATAAATAATGCAACTCACTTTTTTATTAATTGAACCACAGAGCTGCACTTTTGGTAGCCATGTTTATCGTTGGCAAAAAATATTATAAACACTAGACCACCTTATATATTACTAATGTTCACTCAATACAAGGCCCAAGGGCAACTCGGGGTAGAGGATTATTGTGTGGAGTTGTATTAGCGTAAGAAAAGACAAAATAACAAGAAAGATAGCTAATTCTAGACTTGAAGAGGTCAAGATTTTATTAGCGAATCAAATTTCAGAGTTCAGGCTGAGACGTTAGCAGTATAGGGGTGGAGTAGACTTTAGAAACTCAATCTCAAAGAGGAAACAAGGGAAAAACCTCTATACTTGTTCAAAAGACCAGCGAGAAGTATGAAACATAAGTGAACCTATCTACTCCCATTGAAGAAAAAATAAATAGTAAATAAAATTTCAGTTTAGGTAGAAGTGGAAAGTGAACCGGACGATAGATGAACTTATCTACACCTATATCCTAAATAAATCATAATAATCAGGGTGTAGAATTAGTAAATATCAAACACTCCAAATATCTCGGCGTATGGATTAGTTTTACCAAATTTAGTATGGGAGAAAAAGAAATCGAACATAAACTAAGCTGCAAAAATTAATGACCGATTATCAATATAAGTAAGCTCTCCCCTAATTGTAAGATTAGTGCTACTTAATCTTCCTAAAAGAGGATAATAGTCGGTGATCGGGCCCTGATCAATCCCAGGAATTCGAAAACTGATATCCAAGAAATTCAAGCTCACCCACTTCGAAGATTAGCAACGCAATCCTCTTTCTCCTTCATTTAAGCTAATGTATATATTTAAGTTAAACTATTTTCAGCTCTTTGCTCTAACTTAGAGCTATACACACAAATATATCTAGAGTAAGTAGCGTCACTATCATAGTGTTTCATCCGCCAATAGAAAACATCATTTTTAGTTCAGCAACGATTTTCACTTAAAATAGAATCACATTAATTTATTTATTTTAGCCAATTCACCCCAAGCAAGACGATAATGCCACTAAGGCGTAAGTGAAAGTGAATGGGAAGACATTAGCGATGAGAAAGAACAATAAAAGATCAAGGTTCGGGAAGACAGAAGATGATGATTGGCGTTGCATTTAAATTTTTTAAGATTGTAGGCAGTATGGATGCAATAACAGGAAGAGAGTTCCTCAGGCAAGAAGTGTGAGAAAAGAAACCATTAGAATAGAACTTACGCTTACACAATAACACAGTGAAATCTCGTTGCCAATCTAGTAGTACTCACAAATTCACGCGGTCAGAGTACCAATGAGAGGAGCTCATTGGAAAAATTGCCATGAAAATATTTATAGAAAAGACGCGGCACAAACTCCTTGCTTAATCTTCGTCTAGCACAAGCCCCAAAGCATACGCACACACGCGCATGCGTACAAGAACACATTTATGTGCACGTATATGTATACGTGTTGGTGCGTAAGTGTTTTTGCATATGCATGCGTGTATGCACGTGTGTGTATGATATCTCGCTGACTATTTAATAATTACCAAAATCTGGTCAGTGTCCGACAATGGCGTCTTAATCACTTCGAAAATATTATTCTTGGTATCCTCACACACCTATTCGAATAGAGTAGGTTGATTTTTCACTTTTTTAGAAAATCAACATTGCACTTGGTGTTAAAGCTAGGGTTTAATGTCATAAGGAGAACACTAAAAATTCCATTCATAGCTTTAATCAAGCTTTGAGCATTTAGTTTTAAAGACTGCTTGACAACGTATAGAAATACCTGACTTCCGTAGTTTTTTCCTTACAAACTGACCTCAAAATTTTACTATTTCAAAAATAAATCCAACTAAATTTATTATCTTTTGTATTAGATACATTGAATGGAAAATATATTCGAACCAGAATTCTAATTATGAATCACCATAAGCAAAATATTCATTTTTTACTGTATTTGATAAGTAAAAGATTACTAAAAAGGATACTCAATGAATAAGATTTGCTAAATCATAATTAATAAAAATAAAAGATAGATAAAAGTGTATATACAACACATAATACTGCTGGGCACTAATTATAGGAAAATTGTTTTAAAGTTTCATTGTTTATTGAAAATCACACTAAAACTACAGCACTGTATAACATATTACATCATAATATAGCTAAATTGTTCAGTATAATTTCCCTTTGAAGTAAATGAAGGTCTGATGGCACAATGATTTATTAATAATGTTATTGTGCCATGCATCTTGTCCATATACAATTTGTGAAGCTTCAGTAAATTATAACTGTTATAAGGCGTTCACTGATCACCAGAATGAAATTCCAACGCTATGATTTTGAAGCTAAACTTAATCTTTAAACTCGTTTCCTCAAAAACCGGTAACGATTTGAGAAACATATTTTGTATCATTATGTATCATGTCAAACCCCAACTTTCAAATTGAGTGCAATGCCAGGCTACCAAAATCGACCTGCTCTATTGTTCCAACGTCCCTCTCCGTTTTTCAAAAAGTGTTTTTTTTTCTCCACAATGTAAATTACCGCACAATATATTTTGTATGCGAGCAAAAATAACAAAAAAACAATCATGATACCACAGACATTAGGACATGCCCCAGAATTAATTCTCTTACTGCAAAGGAGTGATGCTCTATCGAGAGTCTAATTCCCGGCTATCAGCAAACATTTCATTGCCGTTTCTTCTTGTTGATAACTGTGCAGTAATTAGCAATTCATAGCTAAGCAAATAAACAAATAGGATATATCTTACATCGATCTGACAGGTTGGGAGGACCTACCTAGCTTAAAAAAATCAGCTTTCATGTTTTATCTGAGCTATAATATTCATCTCGAGCACGAATTATGTCAGCTACTAGGCATTCCTTCTTTTGTTTATAGGTGCCTGTACAATTTAGCTTAGCCTGAACTGATGATAATAATATGGGGCTCCTTGCGAGGATCGAACTTACTACAATGTTAATAATATGTAAGATTAGCTTGAGAGCTTAACAAGGAATCTTGAAGAATTGATTTATAATTGTTTCAATAGAAAGTTTAATTTATGAAATGATTGTTTGTGTGATTAGTCAAGATAAATTCTCTACTTTTATTTTAAAAATATAAATATTGACTAAAATGTGTTTTTTGTTTATATTTCAGAATATGATTCCTTTGCTGATTCTTACTGCTGCACTTGTCTCGATGGGAGTAGAAGGTTATTATTATTATTATTATTATTATTATTATTATTTTGTTTCCTTTGATTTCTGTTGGATACTCATTTCTTTCCAGGTCCCAACAAAAGACCTAAGGTCAGAAATGGCATCATGACATTTTTCACTGAGCATTTTTTAAATTATTATTATTATTATTATTATTATTATTATTATTATTATTATTATTTCCTTTGATTTCTGTTGTTTACACATTTCCTTCTGGGTTCCAACCAGAAACCTAATGTCAGCAATGGTTTCAAGACATTTTCCACTAATCATTTAAAAAAAAAAACTAAAATCACACATATTTTACATAAATAAAACTCTTCATAATATGTGAACTGTTCTTGTGAGTACAATATTTTGTATTGCTTTAAGGAACGGGCTACCAGGAATCCTTCCAATGAGTCCATCGGAACATTTTCCAATCAATCCGAGGGCTCCAACTACAACTGGAATTATTGATGTCCTCGTGTGCCACATTTTTTAAATTTCCACTTCAAGATCCTTATATTTTGATAGTTTTTTGAAGATCTTCAAAGATACATTAAAATCTGAGGGGACTACAATGTCCATATGAGAGCACATTCTCTTTTGTGGTCTTTGATCACGATGTCTGAGCGATTAGCATTAATTGTTCTGTCTTTGTGTCTAAAGTCCCATAAAATTGTTACAGGTCCTATCTCTGTAACCGGGTCTGGGTGATGTTCATATGTGCAGATATTGGTGCACTCTGTAATGCCGAGTTTTATATTCAGTTGGTATTAACACCATAACACCTAGTACAAGATGGTCAATTGTTTCAGGATATTTATCACAGAATCTGCATTTCGGGTTAACATGGTTTTTCAGTATGTGTGCTTGTGGTAATTTCTAGTTAACAAGCTATGGTCCTGTGCAGCAAGAATAAAACCTTCGTCTTCAGATTTTCACCCTGCATTACGTAACCACTGATGGGTATGGGATTTGTCCACATGAGCTTTTTTGGTACGAGCAGAATATTGACCATGAAGAGGCTTCTCTTGCACTCGTTTCTGTATTTAGTGCATTGCATTTGCTTTTACTTTGTTTTTTAGGTTCTTTGCCGTTGCAATAGATGTATTATGGTTTATTTGCATTTCTTCACCGACTGGAAATTCCATATTGAATTTCTTGGCTTCCTTTATTTCTAAATAAAGTTTCTTATTTCTTTCATGTTCTTTGACACAAATCACCATCCAGTCTTGTTGTGATTCTAAGTATCTTTGAACACCGATTGTTGTGGTTTTATATGACACTTCTAATCCCCTGGCTCCTTCGGATCTGGACACATACAGACAACCAACATCAGCATTATTATTATTATTATTATTATCATTTTTGGTATTATTTTTATGGTCAAGGTTAGGACCAAGGAAGAACAACACGAACACAAGAGTAGAAATAACGAAGGTATATTACACGAAATAATAATACAAGATGTGGAAGGTGTTAGTATGACTGTCAGTCTGGTTTGGAGTGAACTACTATCGGCTCGACTCGATTCGTCCTTCTCTCTTGAGAGGCGTAGTATAGATAGTGTTAGGTAGAGTTCATTCTGTAGTTATAGATAAGAACCCATGACAATTATATTAGCAGATAGTAATTTCAAGTGTCTAATTACTAAGTCCCCTCCGAGGTCTATGAGTGAAAATGGCCACTGTAGGAGAGTTATCTATGCACATTTGGGACGTTTTGTTTAGATGGAGAGAGTTTTGCGAATGGTCTATACAGAGCGCATATCTTTCGAATATTCAGGTCTGTAGTCGAAAATAAATTTCTAAGACTAAAAAAAGCATTCTTGAAGATAATGCCTCTAAAATGAAACTGCTCTCTTTTTCCCCCCACAGAGAACCCTCCCTGCCTTCCATCAGACTTATTCCCAACTCCTTGAGAGCGCCTCGTTACGCCTGCTTGGTCTCAGGCCTTCCACTGACATGAGATGGAATAAATACATTGAATCAACAGCATCATCTACCGCAAGGAAATTTGACTCTCTGTGTTTCGGGCTAAGATTCTCGGCTGACATGAAGTGGAAAGAATATATTGAATCTATTGATAGAGCGGCTGCTAAGAAAGTTGATTCACTGTGTCATGTTAAACATTTTCTCTTTAGACTATATCTTACATATCTATGAGTCTACCATTTGTTCATGCTTAGAATATTGCTGTCTGATATAGTCCAATGCTCCTGCTATATATTTAGAGATTCTTGATAAAATCCAAAGAATAATCAACAATATCATTGGTCCTAACCTTGTATCTCGGCTTCAGTCACTTTCCCACTACCTTTTCTATAAATACTTTCATAGTAATTGTTCGGGTGAGCTCTTTGCTAAGTTACCTATGTTATTATTAATTTAAGCGCAGTACTAGATTGGTCACACGGTTTCATCATTTTACAGTTGAATTGGTTAGATGTAATAGTTTCTTTTCTCACACTTCTCGCTTGTAGAAATCTCTTCCGGCTCCACGCTTTCCAGGCAACTTTGAACTTTAAAAATTTAAATGCAATGTCATTCGTTAACTACTGTCTTCCTGTCTTCCTGATATTGTTCTTGCTCCTTAATAATGGTTCTGTTTTATAATTCTTTCAAGCCCAGTAACCAATTGTCGCTTTACTACCTTCCTTGGAGGTGAATTTCATTAAATGTTACCTGTAAAATTAAAGGACTATATAATCGTTTTTTTTTTGGTGGATGGGTATCAGAATATTTTCAATAACAGTTTATCGTGTGTAAACAGCGTAAATATAATTTGTTTTTGAGCACTTACATGGATGAGAGAAGTTGTTTGTTTTTCGATGTTTTGTATGATTTTTCCCCAATATTACGCCTGTGATTGTTAACTAGTAAATATTGGGAACCCACCACTCGGAATTATATGTTTTGTGTTGCCCTAGTTGGTAGTTAGAATCGCCATTACTGTATATAACGTTGACCAACTGAGGATTGTGCACAACTTCTGTACATGAAATTATTATTAGTAGTCGACTGTTAAAGATACATTTCCTATAAATAATAATAATAATAATGATATTCATTGTGCTATCAAGGATTGAGTACTTTGTCTCCCCCAAGTCAATTTTTACCTTGTCGTGGGTACTGTTACTTATATATATATATATATATATATATATATATATATATATATATATATATATATATATATATATACTTTTGTTAAATTAAACCGAGGTTTCTTTCATAAATAATTAATTGTATTTTTTTTTTCAATTTTCCAATATTAATTTGTTGTACATCGAGATCACTATCGTCAACGGTTTCAGTTATTATAAAGAATTGGATGTTGTCATTACTGTAGACAATATTTTGCTGGCTACGTCCCGATATTTTGCCACGGAACTGGAATTTGAATTGGTTTAAAGTGACGTCCTCTGTAACGCTGGAATTCGAATTAATCCAAAAGTAAAGTCACGTGTAACGGTTGAGTGCAGCTAGACTATACCGCTACACATGACATGACTGTACTATTTCGAATTTCAGCGCTCTAACAATATCAGGATGTAGCCAACAAAATTTTGTATGAATCCAATATGCCTATCCTGATCTTGAGATCAAAATGAAAACATTTCAATTCACGTCATCCATTATTTCTGTTGTCTCTACTGTCTGGACGAAGACAGTATTTTTTTAAAAAGATTTATCAATATAGTTGACTGATGTTGCTTTTTCTATCAATTGCAGGGACGGGACGCCGCGTATGTTATTATACTAATTGGTCACAATATCGACCTAATGAAGGAAAATATCTTCCAAAAAACATCAATGCCACCCTCTGTACGCATATAGCTATCGCCTTTGGGAAAATAACGGACACTTTAGGACCATTTGAATGGAACGATGAATCGACCCCTTATCGCGAAGGGACGTAAGTAATCATTGCTAGACTGTTCTACACATATACGAGGGGGTGCTGAAAAAATTATGTTTGGTCATTTGTTCAGATTTTGGGAGGTCGGTTGACCAGAGACGAGTTCTCTGATCAGACGTGTCTTTTAAAAAAACAGATAAAAGCCAAAAATGTTTTAATGTCTATTTTGAAAACAAGTCCACTTTAGAAATGGCGTAATAATATTTCATATTTTCTTTGTAAATCAGCATTTGAAATATTGGTTTTATCTGGGAGATTGAGCCTGAACTATCTTAGTAATGAGAAAGGTTACATTGCATAAAAAGAAAATAATCCATTTGCGGGGGGAGGGGTCATTCTACAGGGTGATTGAAAATTAACTGCCTATTTTAAAATATAATTTATTTACTAACTATAATTTTTACAAGAAATATATATGAGAGGAAAGCTTTTAGCGTGAGGTTTTATTTAAAATTCGATATGGGCATCAGATTTCGCTACCAGCTTCACAACTGATTTCACCAGGAATTCTTGAAAGACCTAACTTCTTGTATTCACCCTTCAATTTCTTCCAATGTCTTGGTTTGGTATAGTAGACTTGGCCCTTTAACCAACCCCAAAGAAAAAAGTCACAGAGTGGTAATTCCGGACTCCTGGCTGGTCAATCATACATAAAATAGGGAGTTACTTATCAATCACCCTGTAGATGGGCATCCAGTAAGAATCAAAGCCGCTACACTAGCGAGATTTGGTGTGGTAACTATCATTTTACAGCTGATCTCCTTAAATATAAATATTTACTCGGCTTATCTATAATAATGAGGCACCCAGCGAAAAACTCTCTACAAAAGACTTGCATGTATATGTAGTGATATACGATGATGAAAATTAAATGAACTAGGAGTTTGAAGAATGTCTCTTTTATTGGGCATGACAAACCAAATCACATTTGGCAACGAAATTCTTATCTCTGATTAGTCTCGATCAAATATTTTAGTCTATGACGAGTGAGAATTGTGAGTAATGACTTTTCCTCGCCAAGTTGACAAGAAAAAGGTATTCAAAGAGGAACATTTCGCCTGTTACGCACTCCACCCCAGCAGATCATGCAAAGGATACCATTATTTGATATTCTTGGTTTTCTCCGTGACCATAATTGAGTAGGAGCCGTCTCGTCACACTGTTGAACGAAGTACATGAAGAAACCAGAATCATTCCTTCTGCTGGGTCGCTTTTCCATCACGACACTTATCCGCATTAAGCCACAGTGATCATCTAAAATCTTATTTAATTTTTGAGCTTACTGTAGCCTCTTACTTAACCTTTTAGTATACATTATTCAACAAGTGAACCATATTTTTAGACAGCTTTCTTTTTTACTGGACCTTAATTAATTTTTATTATTTTATATGGCTTACGGACATATCACTTTGAAACACTAGTACTCGTACCGAATTTAAGGAAAGTTGAGTCTGGTCAGTTCCTAGATGAGTAAACGCTTGGGAATACCAGGATGTGCGGATGGTGTAATGAATAATGGCTCGGAATTGTTAATCGGAAAGCCGAGTTCCAATTCCATTTGGGTTTGTTATATTCACTTACGCGCAAATACCCTTAGGAAAGGCATGAAGCCACTTATTCTCCTCCCAGCTATGGATTAATTAGTAGGACTTGTATCACTAAAATATTATTATCTCATAAAAATCTTACAATCTAATAATATTTCCTGACTTTAAATAACCCGCAAAGGGTTGATAAATCGGAGAAAACGAATCAATCAAATTATTATTTTATGTTTGTCGATAATATACACGGTAATGACTCAAATACAAGATGTGTTTACACGACAAGTTAAACAACAATGTATGACTTATCAGATTTTTTATACATTTTTCAGTCATGACCGAAAACTAAAAGTTTAAATTGATCACATTTAAAATCAGATATTGATTCTTGAACAAAAACTGAAATGTTCTTTTTTTTATTTTTGTGTGTGTGTGTGTACAGGTTTGATCAAATAGTCAAATTAAAGTTGACGAATCCTGGTCTGAAGGTTTTGCTCTCCGTTGGCGGATGGAACGCTAATAGCAAACCATTCAATAGAGTTCTAGAATCAAAGATGAAAACAGTAATGTTTGCTGAGCAAGCCGCTGGGTATCTGCGCAAAAAAGGCATGGACGGTCTTGATGTTGATTGGGAATACCCGACTAACAAACAAAATTACAACACTTTCATCCAGGTAAATTCTCTCTCTCTCTCTCTCTCTCTCTCTCTATATATATATATATATATATATATATATATATATATATATACACACACACACACACATATATATATATCTATATAGGAGTTTGATAAAAAACATACGTATACGCACGTATACATGTACGTACATATATATTTTTTTTTTCTCAGAGCTATTAAGTATATATTAGTGAATATACATAATATTCCACGTCGATATGCAATCTTCAGGTGCCGGATACTCACTGACTGTTAAGCGTTAACGGTCAATGAGTATCCTGCACCTGAAAATTGCATAGTTGCATGAAACTCCGAGTCGTGCTATCGACTTGGGATATTATGTATATTCATTAATATATATATATATATATATATATATATATAAGTTTGTGCCAGTTTGAAATAGACTATACCCACATGAGGTAATTTTGGATTTTTACTGTATAATAATAATAATAATAATAATATATATATATATATATATATATATATATATATATATATCCATCTTTTTCTAGCTATATTTCTTTCAACATTTCTTTCTATCTGTCTATATTTCTATCTTCCTTTCTATCTATATGTCTATCTATCTATATGTCTGTCTATCTTTTTACCTATCTTTCTACCTGTCTATCTTTTTACCTAATTATTCCAACTTTCTTTCCTTATCTATCTATCTATCTATCTATCTATCTATCTATCTATCGTTTTTCTTTCTATGGAAATACCAGGTGCTTTAAGCTTGGATGTGCTGGTGTACTGAATAATGACTCGGAATTATTAATCAGAAAGCTGAGTTCCAATTCCCGTTGTGTTCATTATATTTACTTACGCACAAATAACCTGTGAATAAGTATGAATCCACCTCTTCTCCCACTAGCTATGGGTTAATTATTAAGACTTGTATCGCTTAACGTATAAATATCCAACAAAAAATTTTTAGAAACTAAAGAAATATTTTCTGGCTTTTAAATATCCTGAAAAGTGTTGATAAAATGAACCAATTAAATTAATATATATATATATATATATATATATATATATATATATATATATATATATATTTTTTTTTTTTTCCAACTACCTCTCTTCTCTCATAATCCTGCAGTTCCTCTTTTTTAAGTGCCATGGCCCTCTATAACTTGTCATCTCTTGTTGCTCTAAGCAATGTTTGACATGTTATCACCCTTCTTTGATCCCGCTGTGCCATCCATTCACCGAAACTCATTAGTTATGTTACTCGATCTTTAACTCAGTCCTTCTTTCTTTCTTTCTTTCTTTCTTTCTTTCTTTCTTTCCTTCCTTCCTTCCTTCCTTCCTTCCTTCCTTCTGTCGCACCTTCTCACAGATATTTAAATTTATGTATTTGTTTGATTTTAGTATCCCTAATTTGCAATATGCATCTTAGGGCTCATCCTTTTGCTCATAACCATGCAATCTTTCTTCTTGTAGTTTATACTTAGACCTTCTTACACATTTATGAATCTACCATTCGCCCGTACATCGAATATTGCTGCCATATCTTGCCTGGTGTTTGTACTATATATCTCGAGATTCTTGACAAAATCCAAAGAAGAGCCTGTAATATAATCGGTCCTAACCTAGCACCTCGACGCCAATCACTTTTGTCACATGGCTACCTTCTGTCTTTTCTATAAATATTTTCATGGCAGTTTTTCTAATGAGCTCCTCTCCTTGGTACTCCGACCGAGTGAGTTTATGAGTTCTACTAGATTTGTAACGAGGTCTGACCGCGTTACTGCTGAATTAACTAGATGTAACCGTAAGTTTTATTCTAATTCAGGGGTGGTCAAACGGTGATTCACGAGTCACATGCGGGTCTTTCACCTTTAACATGCGGCCCGTTGAAATATGTTGACTAAGCCTCTTTTTTTCATTACAGTTAATATAAAAGGGAAATAAGAAAAATTTCAGTCTTTATAATTTTTTACTGGGTATGAATTGGGACCCATTGAATTAAAACGTAAATTTAATGTCCATGATTAATAAAAAAATATTTAAGAATTTAAATCCTAATTTTAATGCAAGAACTGAGAGAGGCGTTGTTATTTAGTGTTAAGGGAAGGAATGGTGAGAGGCAGAGAGATTAAAGAAATTTTCTTGTCAGCAAAGGTTATAGAGGAATGTCAGAAGACTGAGGTAATGATTAAAAGGATTAAAGATTTGGCTGCACCGGGGTAATGAGTGCGGCTCTCAAACAGCTGAACTTTATCGTATGTGGCTCTTATATTAAGCAAGCTTGGCGACCCCTGTTCTAATAGTTTCTTTTCTCACACTTCTCGCCTGTGAAAATCACTTCCGGTTTCTTGCTTCCCTACTGCCTACAATCTTCAAAAATGCAGCATCAAACGCCATCTCCTGTCTGCTTGAATACTGTTCTCTTATTGTCCTTTCTCATCGCTAATACCTTCTCATTCTCTTTCACTTACGCCTTAGTGGCATTATCGAAATTTGTTTCAGGTAAATTAAAAAATAAATAATTTATGGCGATTTTATTTTAAGTGAAAATCATTGCTGAACTAAAAATGATGTTTTCTATTGGCGGATGAAACACTATGATAGTGACGCTACTTACTCTAGATATATTTGTGTGTATAGCTCTAAGTTAGAGCAAAGGGCTGAAGATAGTTTAACTTAAATATATACATTAGCTTAAATGAAGGAGAAAGAGGGTTGTGTTGCTAATCTTCAAAGTAGGTGAGCTTGAATTTCTTGGATATCAATTTTCGAATTCCTGGGATTGATCTGGGCCCGAACACCGACTTTTATCATAAGAGGAAAATGTACAACTCTATCAGTCATTGTTTGGTTGATATTTTATAAGCTTTTTACCTGAGTTCTAATAGCAATCTTACAATTAGGGGAGAGCATACTTACCTTGATAATTAGTTATTAACTTTCGCGGTTTAGTTTATGTCCAATGTCCTTTTCTACTATACTAAATTTGGTAAAACTAATCGATACGCCGAGATATTTGGAATGTTTGGTATTTACTAATTCTACACCCTGATTTTTATGATGGATTTAGGGTATAGGTGTTGATAGGTTAGCCTATCATCCGGTTCGCACTCCTCTTCTAACATCCCCGCCTAAACTCTGAAATTTTATTTAGTATTTATTTTTTCTTTAATGGGAGCAGATCGGTTCACCTATCGTCCTTTTCATACTTCTCCTCGGTCTTTAGAACAAGAGTAGAGGTTTTTGCCTTGATTTCTGTTTAGGATTGGGTTTCTAATGTTTTTTCATCCTCTTTCACTCCCTACTGTTTGGTCTTAGTGACATTGTGGCCTTACTTGAGGGTGAATTGATTTTTAAAAAATTTTTAAAAATGTGCCATCACTGGTTTCATTCCAAATAATAGTTTCTGTTTTGGAAAGGATAAAGTGCGTCACTAACTCAGCCATTCGGCCATTTTTGTATGCCATGATTTTAATTTGTTAAGAGACATTAAAAAGAATCTAAATTCTGATATAAAAATACGAATGATAAATAAAATTTATTGTCTTTTAATTTTTTTTTTCTTTTTTATCTTTAATTTTTATATTTTTATTTTTATTTCTTTATCACTAGACTCTGAAGAATGCTTTTATTGAAGAGGCCAACAAAAGTGGAAAGGAAAGACTTTTATTGACATCAGCTGTGCCAGCCGGAAAATTTAATATCGACCGAGGCTTTGATATTCCTTTTATTTCAAAGTATGCATTTTTTTACCCGTTACTTTTCTATTTTAACGTTAACGCACACATAAAATAAGCTACAATTATTTATGACTTATTTAAATTATAATATATTTCTGTTAACGAGTGGGTGTATCAATTTGGGGTTATCTCCAAACATAAATTCTCTATTAAATGTAAGAGATTCTCCTCACTTCCTTCGAATTTTGAAACCTAAAACAATATTTTCAAAACTAGGGGTCGACTTCTATGGTGGGTATAAAATGAAAAACATTACTACCGAGTTGTAAACACGTGGGACAGCACCCCTAACAATTACTGGACAGCACTCTTAACAATTACTGTGGTAGCAGAATATTCTTCCTTGCTTTTTCTAAAGGTTGGAAGTCAGAATGTTCCTTCTCTTAGACTGATTTCTATCTAAGGTCAATCCGTACCTAAGGGGGAGAACGTAAAGTTGTCCCAGCAGTCACAGACAGAATACTTTCGCTTAGCTTGACCTCTCCACTGGGGATCGAATTTCGCCTGACTAGTTTGTTAACATTTGCTCCACGTTTTAAAATCGTAGGATTATGACTCAAAACACAGTTCCAGAAATCGGATGCGTCACGTGAGAATCGAAATCACTACAGTAATACTGTACAGTATTGCGGTACTCACCGAGGATTGAACTCATTACGCTCGCATATTAGCCTGCTAATAACTTAATAACAAAAGCGCTATGGTGGGCGCTCGTAGCACTACAGTGGTTAGTATTCAAATCTCACAAACTACAGAGAGAAAAAGAATACGATTCAGGTGGAGTATCCTAAGAATGCGATATTGTTGTTTAATTGTTTTTTGTTTCTTGTTGTCTTTTTGTTTTTTGTTGTTTTTTTTTTGTTATTTTTTCGTTTTTATTATTTCACCCAAGCAAGGCAATAAAGCCACTAAGACGCAAGCCACTAAGACGCAAGGTGTGTAAAAATGAGAAAAAACACTATTAAGGAGAGGGACCAATAAAAGAACAGGAATTAAGAAGATAGAAGATAGCAATTGACATTGCATTTAAAGTTTTGAAGATTAAAGTTTACTAAAAAGCAAGAAGCCAGAAGAGAGTCCTAAAAGCGAGAATTGCGAGAGAAGAAACTGTTAGCATAGAACTTACAAGTTACACCTAGCCATTTAACCTGTAAAATGATGAGGCATAATTGCCGATCTAATACTGCGCTTAAATTCGTAAAGTCCGGGCACCACAGAGGAAAGGTCCTCAAAACAATTACTATGAAAATATTTATATCAAAGGCACAGAGAAGCTAAGTTACGGCGATGAGAAAGTGACTGAACCCGGGAAACCAGGTCAAACCCAATAACATTGTAGATTCTTCTTTGAATTTTATCAAGAATTTTTGAATACATAGTAGAAGCACTAGACCGGATGTGACAGTAGTATTCAAAACATGGATGAATAGTAGACATATAAATGTGTTAAATAGATTCTGACGAGAAACGTTTTCTTGCATGACACCTTGAACCAAATTTCCTAGCAGAAAATATATTGATTCAATATAATATAAAATTAACCACAATTAGGCACAATGAGTCACTCACTCCTGGTGGTTAGCATCAGTCATGTTGAGGGAAGGCAAAAAGGTTCTCTGAGACAATTAAAATAAATTCGCTTTTGTTATCTTTATATTTTTGCTTACTTTTTTAAGACTCATGGATTTCATCACAGTTATGACGTACGACTTGCATGGTTCGTGGGAGAAATACACTGGCCATCACAGTGCAATGTATGCCGGGGATTGGGAAACTGGACCTGAAAGATACTTAAATGTGGTAAGTGAAATGTTTCTATAGGACATCTCTAAGTAAGCACAACATTTTACTTTGGGGGGGAATTGTTCAATGCGATTCTTTCTATGCAAAATCTCCAAATTATATAAAATATTACATTTTTAAGAGTGTAAATTATACAAAACATTACTTGAAACAACATATATATATATATATATATATTTGGTTGGATAGATGTGAGTTTGTGACCCTGGGTTTCACGCTTTAGCGATCGTCAAACCCTTTCAGAAAAAAATAAAAAATAAAATAAATAAATCTCCGTAGACACTTAACCAGACTAGACGATGTCATCTTCCGCTTTAAATTTAGACACCCCACCCTTACCCTGACTTGACGTCTTTGAATGTAACTGAGATATTGATACAAATTATTAACCCTTACGCCTCTTTTCTTTAAATAATTGCTCTAGCCGTTACCATAGTAATTTTAATTTTAATAATGAATATGCTTATAAAACGCGTAAATTTCAGGAATTAGTTATTCCAAAAAAAAATTTCGCTTGAAGATGGAACAGAGTTTGGTACTTTAATTCAAATAATTATATTGAAGTTTTTGGCTCTTGTTTTGAAACATGAGAACTCTTATGTAGCGATGGAATCATATTTTAAATAAATAATTATATATATATATATATATATATATATATATATATATATATATATATATATATTGATTCTAGTTCTTTTACTATATAAAAACTATATCTTATAATTTCAAAGAGTTCTACAATTTATTTTATTATTTTTTTCCATCGGAAACTTCACCGATGTTTAATTTTATGCATGTCAATTTTTTCTTTTGACAATTTTAGGATTGGATCATGGATTATTGGCATAAACTTGGAGTTCCAAAATCAAAACTCAATCTCGGTTTGCCTACGTATGGTCGCTGTTTCACTCTAGAATCCATTCACAGGGACGGGGTCAATGTTCGAACAAAGGGAGCCAGCACTGCCGGCAAATATACAAGAGAACAAGGATTCCTCTCTTATTATGAGGTAAAGTATTTTCAATTCGCTTTCTCATCTTTCTTGTTTTTATCTGTTTTTACTGTTATAATTACTGAACTGGCTAAGTGTCGTCTGGTGTTCTAAGGAGTTCTTTGATGTATATCATGCAGTGGCACGGTGGAGTAATGGATAGCGGCTCGGATTTGAGGAATCGGAGAGCCGATTTCGAATTCTAGACGAGTTCATTGCATTCACTTAGGTGCTAATAGCCTTGAGAAAGGTATGAATAAATAACGGGGTATCACAGCCTTGATTGGCAAAGCCGGGGTATCACAGCCTTGATTTGCAAGGCCGGGGTATCACAGCCTTGATTGGCAAAGCCGGGGTATCACAGCCTTGATTGGCAAGGCCGGGGTATCACAGCCTTGATTGGCAAAGTCGGGGTATCACAGCCTTGATTGGCAAAGCTGGGGTATCACAGCCTTGATTGGCAAAGCCGGGGTATCACAGCCTTGATTGGCAAGGCCGGGGGTATCACAGCCCTTGATTGGCAAGGCCGGGGGTATCACAGCCTTGATTGGCAAAGCCGGGGTATCACAGCCTTGATTGGCAAGGCCGGGGTATCACAGCCTTGATTGGCAAGGCCGGGGTATCACAGCCTTGATTGGCAAGGCCGGGGTAGCCAATTGAGAAGAAAACTGAATTCAAACCACCTGCTGCTATGTAGGTCCTGCTTCTTTAGGCGAGGGTAACTTTAAAAGCAAACCCAATTCATATGTTTCGAAGAAAGGAACTCGTCATCTCACTTTGAGCCGTGACAGAAAATAATAGACACCTCCGGATTAACATAATGGTTCGAACAAACACAAGACTAGGTCTACGGCGTCGTGCCGTGGATCTCTCTAATTTCGCACTATTTACGTATGGCTGTATCACATACAACACGATGTATATAATTTTTGTCATTTTGACACCTTTTTTTCTCTAGTTTGCATTCTTTACTGAATTACTGAATGTTGCTTGGATTTCTATTATCCTCACCTTTTCACTATTCACGATTTGTTTTCCCGGTGGCTCACCGATGTTTGTCTGAAGATTTGTAAAGAAATATTCCGATAATTGAATAAATTAAAAAAAAACATTTTTTTTATCATATTATTCCAAGCAAGGCAACAATGCCACCAAGACACCAGGGAGGTTACTGAGAGCGAAATAATGAGATGACTTTAATGGGGAGAAAGAAAAATAAAAGAACAGAATTCAAGAAGATAGAAGATGACGATTGACGTCGCATTTAAATTTTTGAAAGTTGTAAGTGGATGGGCAGCAAGAAAGCGGAAGAGAGTTCCACAGGCGAGAAGTGCGAGAAAAAGAACTATTAGAATAGAACTTACGGTTACGTCTATCTAGTTAAACAATAAAAAGATGAGACCTATTTGCCAGTCTAGTAGTACACTTAAATTTATGCAGTCGAGATACCATCAAAGGCGTGGGTATGCTCATGAGAATAATTTACGTGAAAATATTTACAGGGAAAACAGAGGGGAGCTACGTTACTTCGGTGAGAAAGTGACTGAAATCGAGATGCCAGGTAAGGATCGTTAACATTACAGACACTTCTTTGGATTTTGTTGAGAATCTCGTGATATATAACAGAAACACTAGACCAGATATGGCAGGAATAGATTTATCAATGTGCAAAATGAATTCTGGCGAGAAAATTGTCTGCCGTGACACATTTTTGTTTTTCGATCGTTATTTTTTGGTTCTTTTGCCCTGAAGTTAATATGTAATTGTTTTTTCCATGAGTTGTTTAGCTAATATCTTTACATTTGTTGTAAAGTTGTTCTGGTGACAACATTCCAATCAATATGGCTTGTACATCTGTTTGAGGCCATGTAAGACCATGCCAACTAAAACAGAATGTGACGCAAAACGCTGTTTGCCCAGCATTCTTCATGATATAATGGAATATGCGTACACCTTAGTCTGAGAGCTAAGTCTATAACGACGCCCATTGAACTACGCCATTGATCTACACTTCTTACCTGCTACTACGACGCGTACCAGTCGATTACTGCTACCGTATTCTACTTGGTTATAGTAGCCAAAACCACTTGGCTACTTCGTTCAAATATATCCCTTTTCCGGCACATATCACTTCATAGTACTTTTTATTATAAATAAACCATTTACTTAAATATTTGTATCTATAAAAATAACGTATAGACAGAAAATATATTAAAATAATTGTAGGACCTAGTTCATTTCATATATATATATATATGTGTGTGTGTGTGTGTGTGTGTGTGTGTGTGTGTGTGTGTGTGTGTTTAATTTAATTAGAAAACAGACAATCTTAAGGGCCCATTGATTATATCTTATTTCCTCAGGAAAGTGGGTTTTTTTTTTTTCTGGTTCCTCAGATCACATTTCTAAGCATAAAAAATGGTTTTGAATTTACGTATTCTTTTAAAACACTTTTGAGGGGTAGTTTTAAGTTGATGTAAGGTTATAGAGAGAGGTGGAGGGGGACGACGACAGATATGGTCGAAATTAGAGAAGGAAGGGAGAGATAGGAATAATTTTAAATCTATTTTCATTAAAATATTTAAGAGTAAGGGAGCGGGGTAAGGACAAGACATTGGCTTATTTAATAAGTCATCAACACAGGAAACGAGACAAAGAGTTAGGTGTTACACACACACACACACACACACACACACACATATATATATATATATATATATATATATATATATATATATATATTACTCAAATGGATAAATATAAATAAAAGTAAGTGTAAGTGTTCAAATGAGTTCCAATACCATTCGAGTTCGTTATATTCACTTTCGGGTAAAGAATATGGACTAGTGACAAAAAAATACTGATGCCCTATCTTTTGTAGGGTTGCCTCAGGTGTCAAATAATTACCTTAATCACCTCCTGTAATGCTTGTGAATATGCCCCTAACGCACCAATAATATTCACTTGTCTCTATTTCCCTGGATCTATTTTTTTAACTTTCAATAATGCGAACAAATAAAAACAGAAATTATCTCTTCAGTCTTAAACAGAGAGAAGGTGGTTTGAATATATTTTGCTTGTGATCTTTATGAGATTACATTGTACTAATCTGGAAATTAGAATAGAGATCAACTGAAACTTACTGGAAGATTCTACATGCACATTATTAAAGCCAGGAACGTACCGGCCAATGCAACGGGATTAAAACAAAAAAGCTGAAGATAGTTGTCTAAATGATTAATAAAATTTTAGCTTGAAAGTTCGCCGGTCAAAACGCACTGTTCTAAAAAAAATATAAATAAAAGGACAAGGATGAGAATACTTAGCTGAATAATCCATATAATACAGAGAAACCCGGATATAAGAGAGATTTTCTCTGGTCCCAAATTAGAGCCTGTGTTAATGTATATATAATAGACCAAACCCGGATATAAGATAAACCCGGATATAAGAGAAACCTGGATATAAGATACTTCTTCTCCGGTCCCGACAACTCTCTTATATCCGGGTTACACTGTAATAACAAAAGTTCTCTCAGAACTTCGTACAATATATAAGATGGCCGTAGATCTTATCAAACAAAAGTTAATGATGATATTAGTCTGACTAATATCTGGAATAATGACAATATTTCATCTAATAAATTAATATAACAATCCGTATTCCATGTTCCTAAAAGGCCTTACAGCTATATCATGTTGAAATACCAGTTCTGGTACGATCACCGAAGTTAAGCAACGTCTAGCCTGGTCAGTACCTAGACAGATGATCGTTTGGGAATACTAGATGCTGTAAGCTTGGATGTGCGGGGGTGGAAATCGGAGAGCTGATTTCCAATTCTATTCGAGTTCGTTAGAAAAAATACCCTCGGAAAAATACCCTTTGGAAATGTATGAATCCACCTCTTCTCTCCCAGCTATGGGTTAATTAGTAGGACTTGTATCAGTAAATCATTATTATCTCCTAAAAAAATTTATGATCTAAAAATATTTCCTTGCATTAAATAACCTGCAAAATGTTAAACTGTAAAAAAAAAAAAAAAAAAAAATCAGTCAATGTTCCTAAAAATAACGCAGATTTTGAAAGCTTACTTTCTGCTTTTCAGATATGCAAAATGATTAAAGATGGCGCCAAAAAAATGTATATTCCTGATCAAAAGGTTCCATATATAGTCAAAGATGATCAATGGTGTGGATATGATGATATTCCATCTCTCAAGGTGAAAGTAAGTGGGATCACTTTTTTAAAAACTTCAATTTTTTTAAGATAGGAAAAGTTTTTTTTTTGTTTTTGTTTTCAATGATTTCTTGGTGATGTTCCTATTTAAATATCTTTTAGTAATTTTTCTACAAAATTTAAGGGTTGTAGCGATATACGATTATTCTCATTAACCAAGCTGTAATTAGGAGAATGCTTTAATTTGGCATGACAGATCAAAATAGTTCGGAGTGAACCTCGTATCTATCTCCGATCAGTTTCGACTAAAATATTTTTGTCTAAGATGAGTGATTTATGACTTCTCCTTGTGTTTGGAGGAAGGAAGAATGAAATTTTCATAAAACGAGGCAACGTTTGGCCAGCTGCTTCAGTCACACTTTTGGATACACTCCGTTTTCCTATTTTTTGAAGCCTAGTAGCATCCTTTCCGTATCGATGTTAAAGTATATGAATAAAACAGAATGATTTAATCGACTGGTTATCGATGCGCGTGACTTGTCGACAATTGGATCACTTTTCAATCAGACCACTTTTTTCTACAGGAATTATCCGAGAAGCGGCATCTAAAACCTAAAAAGACGCAACGCTATGGGATTATCCGATGTTATTTAAGGATTTATCGACTTGAGTAGATGCATATAAGTTTGATATTTCCTTAAATAAAAAAAATCATCATTTACTTAAAATATATATCTAATCTAAAATAAAGTTAAACAGCAGCACTTTCGAAATCCACTCACTTCCACCAGTGATACTATTGACACCTACCTAGAAAATGGCGAGATAGTTTTATTTCAATCTCAAGTGTTTCTCTTTAATAGAAGAAATTTTGAAAATGCGGTCTTTTAAGCGGCATCCACTTTAACCGAAGAGGAATGAAAAGTAAAGGTATACATAAGAGGTTTTTGGAAATCAAGTAACAAAATCTGAAATAGGATATATCTGGGAGCTGGTCTTTATTAACATTCACGCTTGGAATCGAGGAGTGTTCTAGGCCGCCGTGTCGTGGTTCTGAAGCCTCCATTCCTATTGCCATGTACCACGTCGGAATGAATAGATGGGCGAGTTGGTAGGTGGGAAGAGCTGACGTTGCAGAAGTTGTCCTATCCACCCTGACGAGCAGGCGAAACCCTCAATAAAACATCTAGATATAATATAGGAAATCCCTCGAAATGGCATTTGTCTTTCATCGTGTTTCCTTGTGGACATACAGAAAGTCCTTCCCCAAATTCCGGTGTACACCGACGAGATTGAGAATTTGGAATGCAACGCGTGGTGATCATTGGCCGGTCAGTGGAAAGCTCAGGTGGGAGTCACGTTGCATGTTTTCGTACCAACTTTTTAGATTACTCCTGAAGGGACACGGCCCATAGAAAAAGATTGTTAAAGACCATATTCGGAAATTTTTTTCCTTAATTTTACAAAATCTTTCGGCAAATCAGTTTTTTTCCAGTCTTCATTAGGCGATCGTCGCACTTTCGACAATCTTAACAGCTCATAAAAACAATTAAAACTAAATTATTATTATTTTAAAAAATAAAATCACTAGTTCATAAATTCTAATCATTACTAGATATGAAATGTTGCCAGACTGGGCTACAAACGGATAAAGATACATTTGAATGACTAGCGCTACTAATATTTGAATTGGCTTTTTTCTCATTAGTAAAATAAGAAAATCTACCAGGATTCATTATTGGCAGCTACAATCTTAACAATATAAGATATGCAGATGAAACAGTGTTGATGTCAGAGATAGAAAGGACACTACAATAACTCCTACAGAAGGTGGTGAAGGAAAGCAAGATGAAAGGACTAAAAATCAATTACAAAAAGACAAAGTGCATGGTTGTCACCAAAAGAAACAGCCCAACATACAAATTACAAATTGGAGATATAAAATCCAAAGAATTTTTAAAAAATCATAGAAAGGTGTGTAAGACAAGGATTCGCACACTTACTCAACTGATACAATGAAGCAATTCTGAGAATTAGAAATCCTACCAAGATTCATTATTAGCCGTCACAATCTTAACAAGAGATATGCAGATTACATTTGTTGACATAGAAACGAAACTATCAGAACGCCTACAGAAAGTAATGAAGGAAAGCGAGAAGACAAGACTAAACAACAATTGCAAGACGACAAAATGCATGGTTGTCGGTAAAAAAAGAACAGCCCGACAATCAAATGAGAAATTAAAGTGCGAATTGCAAATCGGGGATAGCAAAATCAAACAAGTAGAACAATTTACATATCTGGAAAGTGTTTTAAAAGAGAACGGAAAATGCGACACCGAAATCCGACAATATATTGGGACAGTGCAAGATGACTTCTAAAAAGTTAAGCAAAGTTTTAAGAAACAAGAAAAATTCGTTATAAACAAATAAAAGAGTACATCGGTTCTCCTATATGGCAGTGTAATACTGGACAATCTGGTCATAGATGAAGGATAGACAGGAATTAACAGAAATGTGGTTCTACAAAGGGATGTTGATAATAGCATGTACTGAAAATCTAAACAACGGCGTAATTTTAGAGAAAATGGAAATAAAAAGGACACTTACAGTTAAAATCCGAAAGAGAAAGTTGAATGCACATATTGAGAAAAGAGGACTTGGAAAAGTTGATACTCACAGAAGATATTGAAGGCAAGAGGACAGAGGAAAACAGCGCATAACTTACCAAACAAGCTTGTGCAAATGGATGGTTGGACAGGGTTAAGGAGACAAAAAGATAAAATTTACTAAGAGCTACAAAGGATAGGAAGCTATGGAGAGTTATAATCACTAACCTCCTGAATGAACACAGCAAGAAGAAGAAGAAGAAGAAGAAGAAGAAACTCAAGTTAGGTCTTCTAATTTTAAAGTAGTCTAAAATGTCACAAGTAGCGAAATTCAAAATCTTGTTGCGCCGGGATTTCATGTGTAGCCTAATATTCATTTATATCATTCTAAATTAGTAAATATCAACAAAGAACGCTTGACATTGAGCACTGAAAAGACTATTGCTAATGCGTCGAAAAATTAGCGTTTTAATCGTTTCACCCCAAGCAAGGTGTTACAGGGAGTGAAAGCCAAGGAGAATGAGAGGATTGAGGAAAGAGAAAAAAGAAGGGAACAGAGTTCAAGAAAACAGAAGATGGCGATTGACGTTGCATTTAAATTTTTGAAGATTGTAGTTATCAGGGAAGCAAGAAATCGGAAGGGAGGAAAGTGCGAAAAAAAAACTATTAAAGTAAAAGAAGCGTTTGTACCTAGCTGCCGTATTTTCATTCTTTGATTAAATGCTTAATATTAAAATTTATACTTGCTTAGAATTTAAATCCAATGCCTTAAAGTCACTCATATTTACGTTAAGGCTAGATTCTAACCAGAGATAAACACTAATTAATTTTAGCCTGTCACAAAGTCGCACGAGTGAACCATCTAGAAAGAAACATACACTTCCTTTGTGTTTTGTTATATCCCCATCCTTCGATGCTCTTAGCAATATTTGTCCCCTAACTTTCCCACCCAGTCTATATTCTGCCATCTATTTACACACACTCGTTAAATATATTATTCGCCGATTCCCTCTGCACCTCTTACTATCATTATGTCCTGTGAGCGTCAAAATTCTTCAAGTTGGCTTTTTTCCTTATGTGTTCCAACTATCACTTTCTGAATTGTAATTTCTTTTTTTCTTTTTGAAAGCTTCAGTACGTGAAGTCCAAAGGTTTTGGTGGTGTCGCAGTTTGGTCAATGGCTTTGGATGATTTTAATGGAATTTGTGGCCCAAAATACCCTCTCATGACAGCCATCTTTAACGAAATGGGAGGCAACGACATTCATGGGTATGCTACCTCTCTTTTTTTTTACTCTTTGACTTTCTGAGACACGTAATTATCATTATTATATAACCAGATACTTAAGTTAACTTGGCCAACGCTTATATCCTTGAGCAGTATTAGGCAAACTGCTGCCTGCAGACAACATGCAGCCCGATTGGCTTCCACATGGTACACTTGATTTCACGAGGAAAATAACGTTTATTAAAATGTTGTTTGTTTCATTTCATTTTCACTTGTTTAGTCACACTTTCGCATGTATAACAGTATATACCAACAATGATTAAATACGATTTTTCTTGAATTTTGTAACTACTCGTTGAAGATAACGTTGTCAGCATTTAAAACCATAGGCGCTTTTCATTAAGGAAGATCATACGTGTAAACATCTTTATATCAATGATAATTGTTTTTTTTTTCTCGATAGAATAAATATATTTCTTCTTTTACAAATTTGTTTGTGCAATTAAATGAATTAGAAACAAATCACACTCAGAATCGTGTGTTAATCATTCTGTCATCAGTGATAATGTTATACCATGACTTCACATTTTTTATTATTTTTATGGAAGGAATCTTTTCTCCAAAGAAAAAAAAGTTTTTTCCCCATTTTTAAGGCAGATGCTTATGTCCATGTTATTTTGTTAAGAAAATGGCTGCAGTATATTTAGTAAAAAATTACCTTGATTTATTTAGTGGGGCCAACCTTATGATGTACTGTATGTCATGTGACCCACTGTTCGAAAAAAGGTTGCCTAGAGCAAGTGATCCCAACTGTTTTTGTGTCATTACTCACTTCCACATGGGAAAATTTCCACCACCCACTTATATAGTAAATATTCAAAAGTATCACAAAATTGTTTGGTAAAAATTTGTGACTGGTTCATAAATTGACTTTATGATGGCGTAAAAATACCAAAGGAGGTAACAAATAGCACTGACTTATGCGGCTGCTGCTGCTGTTGCTACTAAAGCAAACTGGACCATTGCAAACTATATATATAATTTAGTTTATGATCAAGGTTAGTTTTATGTTTAGGGTGAGGGTTGCAAGTGTTGACACAAAATTAAACGATTTTTGTTCACAATTATAAAATTAAAAAGAATATGAACTACGAGCAACCAAAGAAAATTCAGCAAATATTTTGTTGTACTTGGTCTTAACTTATTTGATTTATATCCGAAAAAATGTTATTTCCTCTGAAAAACTATTTGAATATTAATGACTCTTTTCAAAACTATAGAAAATGCCAAAACATTCATTGTTTGTGGGGATATTTATATCTTATCTAGGAATGCGACCCAATTATTCACATTCACATAGCCTTTTTTTATACAGGCTCTATGAATATCTCCTTTGAATATTTTTTCAGCTAGCATATGTTGAAATCATTTATTGCCCACCATTTTCTGCTCAGTTGCTCATCGCCTACCCAACAGTTGAAATCGACCACAGATGGGAGATATCACCCAGGTTGGGAAACCCTGGCGTATGACGTGGTAACCATGAATTTGCTTCATGATTCAGGTACTGAAAGTTCATATACTTGGTTTCAGTGCAATGAACGGAAACTACTAGTCAAGGAGAAATTAAATAGTTATAATAATAATAATAATAATAATAATAATAACTCACTGTTAGTTTCCGAGTTATGCAGGATAACTAGATAATTCCTGTTGCAGATGCCCGTTCAGTCACATTTGTAGTTTATACTGCGGAAAAAAGGACCGGTAAGCCGAATTCAAATTCCGGGCAAACCTGTTGCGTTTACTTTCGCACTATTACCTTTGACTAAGAAATGAATCCCAGATATGAATTAAATAGCAGGGTAAACTCGGTTCTCTAGTCTTGTGACGTCTAGAAGAAAGAAAAGTCTGAATTTAAAATCGTGGAGAAGGCACCATTTCATTATTCTTCTCAAGAATGTATGGCAATTCACAGATTATAAAGGAAAGGAAACAGTGGAGACTCATGATCGCCTAAGTCCTGAAGGGACATGGGATTTTAGAATTTTAGAATGCTGATCAGAACTTAGTTACAGTTTCTGGTAGAGAAGATATAATCTAACATGATCAGTAGTTGAACAAATGCGTTCAAACCCTCGATCACGATGACTTGTGCCTTCGTACCAGCACAGCCATCGCCAGATTCCGAACAGTTTCAACTTCCCATTTTTACTCAGATGTCTTGAGTCAACCTACCGCATAGTTTTCAGGAACTTCCTAGTTCGTTTCTTATCTTAATATTATCAAAAGTTATCTCCATCATAAATGGACTATAATCCGAGTTTTATAGTCGGGATGTTAACGTTTTAACCACTCGGACAAAGACAACTAGGAATTAATTAATACAGGGAAGCACCACTTGGGAGTCATTTCCACAGAGCAGCAGTTCATGAGACGAAGCTGCTCGTGTAGAACGTAAGCCTCAGCAATAGAATACGAAGAGAATGACAATGTTAAGGTTAGAACCGGTGGAACTAAGGAATGTTGTTCATCTGAACACTTTCCATGGAAATAGCGATAGAGCAACGAGGGGCTTGTGATATATCGTCTGCGAAAAAGGAATTACAGGGGGGGAAATAATTTGTCACCCACAAGGACACGGAGAGACTTTTGGGCACTATTGAGACAGGAAAAACTGGGAAACTCCTGCCCATATTATGCAACATTGGCAAAATAAGAGCAAGAAAGGAAAAAACAAATGGCTCTTAGAATCTCATAAAAAGCATCCTCTTGAGAGTTGGTTACACAAAACAGTGATTCAAAGGATGAAGCTGCTCAAGTGGAAATTGCATCTAATCTCATCTTGTGGAATACAAAGGGAATAAGGGCAGTTCACTACAATATGCATGACATGGCATTGGCACATTTTAGCACTGAGGGTTAGAACCGGTGGAACTAAGGAATGTCATTCATTTGAACTCTTTCCGTGGAAATAGCAATAAAGCATCGGGAGGTTTGAGACGTTTTGTCTGTGAGAAAATAATTTGTACCCACAAGGACGCGGAGAAACTGAAAAGTAAAACTGGGCAACTCCTAACCATATACAGCAGCAGTACTCCATTTTCGGCCTGATCTAGTGAAAGTAAAGGACATCGGGAGAAGTCAGGTACTTAATGGAGCTGTACAGGTAATTGGTTATTTTTTCAGCATCTTTAGTAACGAGGTCTGGGTTGAGTTGGTCCCAACAGGCGCTCAAGACACGAGGCCTCCCTGAGAAACCCCCCGTTCATCGTGATTGGTGAGGGTTCTTGATTTGATCGACGATGGTGGAATGTAACTAGTTTGGTTTTTGAGGCATTGAATGCAAGCAGCCAGTTTTTTTTTCTCCACCAAGCTGTTAAAACTAAGTCAGAATGTGAGCAACGACGAAGTTTTGGAGAAAATGGAAACAAAAAAGGAAACTATTACTTAACATCAGGAAGAGACAGCTGATGTTTCTTGGGCACATACTGAGGAAGGAGGGCTTGGAAAATCTGATACTCACAGGACAAGTAAAGACCAAGAGAGAGAGAGAGAGGAAAACAACGCATAGCATACTTAGTGAGCTTGAGTAGATAAATGGTGGAAGAGAAAGACAAAATTTATTAAGAGCTGCAAAGGGTAGGAAGTTGCGGAGAGCTATGATCGCCTACGTCCTGGGGGTCACGGAATATAAAGAGAAAGTCTGATTAAGGGTCGAATAGTTAATGGCCGACAAGCATTATTCACTTTTTTTGTATTTCAATGCAATTTATCTTATATGTTATTTAATAATGCTTGATTGAAATATTTTTTCGTTTGTATTCTCATTCACAATTCAGATATCCAACAAATGCATTACCAGAAAAAGATACAACCTCTGCGGATTATCAACACAGCAACAGGTGGATCACTGATGGGTTTATAAGCTGGATGACGACTCATGGGTCGGTGAGCTGGGAAACGACTACCCCGAAGCCAACGATCAGTGAAATAAAACCGACAGGTAAATATTCAGATTACTTTAAATCTCCAATCTGTAGGAGAGGATCGAACGCTAGACGATACTATAAAGAAAAAGAACAACTTAGTAAATTTGAGAGGAATAGCTTTCATATATATATATATATATATATATATATATATATTTGTGAAAATAGTTTCCAAAAAAAATTTCGCTTGAAGATGGAACAGAGCTTTCTTTAACTCAATTTAATTCAAATAATTATATTGAAGTTTTCGGCTCTTGTTTTGAAACATGAGACCTCTTATGTCGCGAGCTGGAATCATATTTTTAAATAATTATATATATATATATATATATATATATATATATATATATATATATATATATATATATATATATAAGCAATAATAAGTACCTCAACTCCAGGGTTTCGTAAATGTAATGGTTCGGTCCACGCGTCAAAAGGTTTCAAATGGACTCTTCCGTCGATTTCGACGTATGAATGCTCAACAAAAAGTTCAGTTCTGGTGTTTACAGAGGTTCGATGGGTAAATTGGCGCCATTTTATATTTTAAATTTTCACATGCGTGTTGTTTCTTTTTTATTTTGTCACTGCACAATATAAGTACGGTCTGTGAGAAAAAGAGAACTTTGACGCAATTCACTCTACCAGAAATTTGGAACCACCATGCTGTGCTGCTTGGCATTCTCACCGGAAGCTACAATACGAATATTTTAGAGTGTTTGGCTGTCGGTGCAGAGAAAGAGTTGAATGAGTCTAATGGTGATAACAGAGATACGGCAGCTCGGAAAACTCACTTTGATCGTTCTGATAAGAAAAAACTCCCAAATTTGTTGTTAAGATCCTCAGACTCAACACAAAGGCCTGCATCAAGTGCTCTGAGGAGGTAGTGTTACCCTGGATCATGAGATTGCTGGAAGACCCTATGTATGGCAACAGGTCTCTGCCACACCCTGCCACACTAGCAGGATAATCTAGTCATGGCTGTCTTCCCAGATTGCAAGCCCCTCGATTATTATTATGTGTGGGGCGCAGTTGAGCCAGAAACCAACAAAACTCCTTGTAACATGAAAGATGAACTGAAGACAAGGATTATGGCATCATTCGCCGACTTAAACAAGGTGATCGTCCAGAAAAGTTCCGAAGTCGTTCGGAGTCCGTGTTTGCAACCAAAAGCGATTTTATTGAATGAATTTACTCTTCAGTATTTCAGGATATTTTCTGTAATTTTGGTAAATATATCTGTTAAAATGAGATGTCAGTGTTAATTTCATTTTTTGCATAATTTAGATGAGAATTTATCCATCGCAATCTATATAAGTTGGCTGCATACAAGTCCGCAAGTTATTGCGAGACGTGTTTATTGGTATGGCTTAGCTTCTCGGAAACGGCCATTCCAATCCGCTTCGTAGATATTGATAGCATTTTAACACGAGCTCCGCTCTCCTGTCTATCCAGGCCCATTACGTTGTATGTTATATATATATATATATATATATATATATATATATATATATGTTTGTGTGTGTTATCTGTTCTATCGGTCAGCATATATATATATATATATATATATATCCGTAATTAAACCATACCATCTGAACATTGATTCATTGTTTCTCTGGCTGCATTTCTTGGCACAAAATACTAAATAAGCAAAAATAGACTTGTCCGATAACCAATCGACTGCCAGTATATATATATATATATATATATATATATATATATATATATTATTGGGGAAAATGTATGACAAAGTGGAAAGAATTTAAACGAAATCGTCTAGATTTAAAAATATATATATATAATTTAAATTTCCCAGCATCCCTAGTTCGTGCGCATGCGTAGTCTCACCAACCTAACATATTTAGTCCGATCAAGTCGTAAAAGACGAAACGCGTTTAGTCAAACTCGTTCCAAGTAGACGAGTTATTATAGACACGACTCTAGCCATTAATATATTCTGATTTTGTCAGTATGCTGACAATGATTTTTTTCTTTCGATTTTTCACTTTAATTTAATTCTTTCTTTTTAAAGTGTGGAAAATACCAAATTAATGCAATCCGTATATTTCAAAATATTTCTCTTATGATTTAAACACTTGTTAAAAGTTAAAATGAAATAAATAAACTGTAGCGTGCGAAATACGATCCTAATGTTAAGTGATACGTTTTAGTAACAAAGATTAAAAACAGTATAACATTCTCCTTGATATATAAAGATTAATATATCGTTCTCGTATAGATAGATAGATAGATAGATAGTCGGAGCAAGGGTCTTCCCCAATCTATGGTCGTATTCATATAAAATACAAATTTTATTGCAACCTAATCATGTATAATAATGGATCATATACAATACAGATGAACAATTCAACTAGAAAAATTAAAAATAAATACAATGTATCTAAATACAAATTAGAGACATGTCAATGTTTTGCGGCAAATATTGACATCAATGTGAGATTTTTCTTTTTAAAAAGCTGAATTTTTTTTAGAAATTCAACATTATGGATAAAAAAAAATAGTGAATTTGATACCGTGATTTTTCGAGACTTAGCATGAGCAAAAAAAAATTCACGGATTTGAACAAAAAAGACTCCAGAATGACGTCAAAATTTGCGAAAGATTTTCATCCTTTAATAGTCAGTTGTGCTTAGTTTAAATTGTAATGTATATAAATATAGGTAGAAAGGAGCAAATGTTCGTAAGATAGCGAGGGTCACAAAGCACTGCCCAGAGCCTCCGATAAGGCTTGAGCAAGCACCCCATCCCCACTACACCGCACCACTCCTATATATATATATATATATATATATATATATATATATATATATATATATATATATATAACTACCATTTTCGCGCGAGAAACCGGCAGCTTTTTATCTGAAATCTATAACTAAATGTTTAGAATTAAACTTTATACAACGCACCAGCAACACCACTTATTGATTTAACAAGATAACCCCAGAGACCATTACTACCGTAGTAAGTTCGATCCTCACTGTGTTCCCCATGGTTTTAGCATTGTGCTTTAAGTTTAGTGTCTCATAAAGCTCTGAATTTATAAATGTCGTGGAACACTGTAATTTACTTCATAATAGTTGTCACGAAAGTAAACTAAGCTTCATTCACATCTCTTCGCAATTCACAGCAATAAACATTTTCGCTTTTGTTTGCATTTTTTTTTTTGTACACTTTCACGGATTATTATTTCTTTGTAGCGCTCATATCAGAGCGTATAATGACCACCCTTAGCAAAAACTTGGTGATGGCTTTAAACAATGATCACCCCTAACAAGAATTTGGTGATGGCTTTAAACAATGATCACCTATAACAAGAACTTGATGATGACTTTCAGTAATTTTCACGCGTGGTAAAAACTTGGTGGTGGTTTTCAATAAATATCACTCGTAACAAGAATTTGGTGATGACTGTCAATAATGATCACCTATAGCAAGAACCTGGTGATGGCTTTCAACATTGCACAATATAAAAATCAGTTTTGGTAATACCTTCTGTTGTCATGCCTTTACAGCTGGGCCGTGCATTGGGAACAAGAATGGAATTCACCCGGATACATTAAGTTGCAAATATTTTTGGATCTGTATACCCAACCTTGGAGGTAGTAGATACAAGTGTCCTCAGAAAACTCTTTTTGACGTTAGACTAAAAGTTTGCAATCATGCCAGATTGGTCAAGTGTAAAAAATCTACAGGTGAATATAAATTGTATATTTATTATTATTATTAATAATCTATTTCTTTTTTTACCTCCATCTGTTTTATAATCACATATTGAGTCATAACCATTGACCTAGAGCAAGCGAAGGATGTGATTTCTTTTTGTTGTTGTTTTCACTTTACTAAACAAAATACAGCTATTGTCAAAAAGAATTAAATGAATATGGGCTGTTCACGTTAGAATTACTTCTTGTATTTCCTGGAGAGATACTGCAACCAAGGATTTTGTTGAAAGGCTGTTGAGTTCCTTTCTTTATCAGACCCAAAGTTCCAACCACAAAAGAAACAGTTTTAGTTTTTAAGTAGCACGTGTTTTCTATTTCCATATCCACACCTTCTTATTTGCTGAGTTTTTTTTTTTTGTTTTTTGTTTTGTTTTGTTTTTTTTTCACGGAGGTGTCATTTGATACACGCATGTCAATCAGTGTGCAAACATTTTTCATTTCTATCTTTGGTAATAGTGACTGGACGCTTTTCTTGCATTGTTCGATCTGTGTTGATAGACAAATCCCAAAGGATAATAAGATCTGCTCCATCAACTACTGATTCAGGATGTTTTACATCAGTTTGCAGCTGTTTTTATCCTGTAGCGATGGCAGATCTTTCAATCTAGATACTAACCTACCCTGTCATGACGGTTTTTGTACTCACTGGGTGTGTGTATTGACCATCCTGAGATAAAGTGATCAATACTTTCTATGTATTGGGAACATATTATTATTATTATTATTATTATTATTATTATTATTATTATTATTATTGTTGTTGTTGTTGTTATAATTGCCTCAGATAAGATCTTAATATGTGGTAAGTAATACATGGATAGCAGGCCACAACCAGTAGGCTTAGGTACCATAGAATTTTCTTCTGACACTAAATTGTCATTACTTCCTGGATTATTCATGTCATTCCTAATATTTTTCAAAGATTTTTCATTAATTAGTAAAGTCGCTGCTTGTGTCCGATTGAAGTTTTACAAGATCAAATGGTCAGGCTGAACGCTTTGTTGATACGTTCACAAGGGCGTTAAAAATCAACGTTATTCATCTTAACCTTCACACATTTCCTGTTCTGGGCCGAAATCAGATTTTGCGTTGAGTTATTGTATTAAAATGTCTTACATTTTTTCTTTGCTTTGATTTGCAATGACTTTGTCTATGACCCAGTTTTTCACATTGGAAACATTTTATTTTGAACGGGCATTGCACCTTAAAATGAAGTCCTCCACGACCGTAACACGGGTTCGATGAAGTCATTTTTTTTTTGTTCTTTAGTCGCACTGTCCGCACTTGTACAATATCCATTTCTTTAATCTTTTCAGTATCATGTTTTAAATTTCTTTGACATTCTTCTGTCATTGTCTGTAAGGATAATTCTGGCTCCTGCTTAAATTTTGTTAAAATGCGAAAACAAATTTCTGCGTCTTTACTCGTCCTTACACAAAAATAAGCATTAAAACATATTTGGAGATAGTTCGTTCAGTTTAAATTTTTCGCATTTGTGAGATTTATGATTGTCTATGAAATAGGGAACTTCTCTCACTGAAAATTTTAGACAAAATTAAAAGTTTCATCAAACGTAATATTTCCTGGTTTTTCAGGTAAAATATGATTGTCATATAATTATCATATAATTAAAATATAACTATATTTTTCCTGCTCTGATGGATACAATTTCATTAAAAGTAAATGTACCTTTTTGTTCGTCTGGCAAGCGCTGGGGATCTTTTTTGAAAATTTCTTCGTATTTTTTGTAATACGACAAAAACGGGCTATATAATAAACATAATAATGAAAAATTCTTGTTCTTCTCTTGTGTGACGTGTCTCTTTATGATGTTGGCGATTAATTTTCTCCACAATGTTTAGTCCCTGGTATGGTCAGCTTCCTTGTAGAATAACATTTCTGTTGTTTATTGTCTCTTTAAGTAGTCATCTTAGCGAAGACTTGTTAAGATGTCGCGCTTTGCCCACGTTTCACTCGGAGATCGATTCAGTCAACACGAACATGTTAAGTGCTCCCGTAAAATAAAATTGCTATTTAGTGAAATTTTGGTGAAAGAAATTAATTAACTAGAATATATCCTTTAACACCGAGATCTGACTGGTCGGAGAAGTAATGTACGAAGATCCTCTTAAAGTAATAAAATACTTCCGGGACCGTTACTTCCGGCCTCAAGCCTACTTCACGAAAACTTCGTTTATAACTTGCAGTTATTATATACAAGAAAAAAAAACTAAGTAATGTAATAAACAAATAAAATATATTTATAGAAATCTTCTGGATCCCTTATTTTAATGCTATGTTCTTTCAAGACTTAAGCTATCACGGCTCTCCACAGCTTCCTTTTTGCTTAATGTCTGTGTATTACTATGACTACTTGGAAAAGAGAGTGGAGTTATTTGCTGTTGCTCTCATCATTTTACAATTGAAATGGTTAGATGTAACTGTAAATTCTATGTTAACAGTTTCGCAGTACTCAATTGTGGAACTCTCTTTCGGCTTTTTGCTTTTGGGACAACTTTGATCTTGAAAAATTTAAATGCATTGTCAATCGTTATTTTCTGTCTTCTTAATTCCTATTCTTTTATTCTACCCGCTCTTTAATGATTTTTCTCATGTTCTCTCACACTCAGTAACTCCTTGTCTTGCTTGGGGTGAAATGTCTACCATTTTGGCTCTCAAACAAGCCGCGCCCATTTTTAACTTATTGAGTTTCGTGTAAGATATGTCTACCTTTTTGTCTCTCTCTCGCCAACGAAACCCGTATTTAACTTTCAATTGTTTATCAAAACGACAGAATTTGGTATTTGCCATAAACAAAACCACAGCTGAAAAACCATAGGTTAAAACCACTGGTTAAAACCACGGATCAGAACCATTTTTTTTTATTTTTACAGTGGGAGTAGGGCGTTTTCCGAAAGTTTGCGTGAGATTCAACAATGCTATATTAACGCATGACTGTGATGCATTTTGAAATTTTGCGATATTTAACGAAAATACTTCTTTTGATTTATACAGATCCATGTTTGGGCAAAATGAAAGGCTTCATGCCCCATGCAGATTGCAAAAAGTTTTATATATGCTCTAACGGTAAAGGATATGAAAATAAATGTCCGTCTAACACACTATGGAATCAAGAAATCAATATTTGTGACTGGGAATCCAAAGTTATATGCTCCCCTTCATCGCAGATTTAAAGGTGAGTCAACGAAATTAACAAATGTCTCTCGTTAGAATCCAAAATAAGTGAGAAAGAATGGTTATTTTTTACCGTTTTAAATTAATGTCTATGAATCACTCCCCGCAAAACTCGTAGCAGTCGAAATATTTTTTTTAGAACTACCGTATTTGACAGCAAAAATTAGAACGCTTTCACCAGCAAACGCTTTCACCAGCAAACGCTTCGTTCAATCTTGAACAACAAATGGGAATATTAAGTGACCAATAACAAAGTCGTAGGAAGTGCAAACAATCAAAGCATCGAATCATTGATGATGAAACACTGTCTTCGATGGCCAGGACATGTAGCAGGAATGGAAGAGTCAAGGTTTCCACGTCAAGTCTTATTCAGCGAAAAGATCACAGGTTGCCCTCTTCGAAGATACAAGGATTAACTCAAGACAATACTGAAAGACACTGGACTTGAACTTCATTTGAAACACATACAGAAGACCGTACCAACTGGCGGTGTTCCATCACCATCGGAACTAAAAACTTCGATGCCACCAGAAGATAAAAGGAAGAAGTGAAACAAGAGAGAAAGGCTCCACAAAATCAACTTCATCCTCCACCAACGTTACCATGCAGTCAATGCCATCGACTCTTCCATGCAAGAACTGGTCTACTTCGTCATCAACGCCATCATCATAAAGGAAGTGATCAGCAAAGAAGAAATTAAATTCTTGGATACGAGATAAAGCTGACGACGACGATTTAACGTTTCAACAGAATATAGCCAGGAAAAAAGGTTTTTAGTGAATTTACTCATGCAATGTTTAAAGCTAAGTAATGTAATGGAAATCTGCGCTGAAAATGAAATCCCGACCAAATCTATTGCATTCACTTTCACACTAATGTCCTTAGAAAAGATATGAATTAATCTCTTTCTCTTTCTCCCAGCTATAGATTAAATAATAGAGCTGACACTGGACTCTTCATCGTTGGATGGCAATTACTTTAAGCGAAGGACAACAGATAATAAAGAAAAGAAATTTGTGAAGATCCATGATCGAAAGAACACGACATTTTTAAGGTCCAAAAATTAATAATCTGAACAATTAAACGCAATAATTTGTCTTTTCCTTCATAAAATTTTAATAAATTGAACGCAAGTTGCAATTTAAATCAACAAATAAGCGTGAATAAATAATATTTATAATCCATGGTTTTCTCCCGCTCGACGAACCGCAAATGGTCATCTTCATCAACGGGCTGTCATGTGGTTCTTGAAGACCCCTTAAGACATCAGTAAATCCTGCCTGTCAAAAGGAGATAATCTCATTCTACATAACCTAGCCAAGAATCGATTTATGAGTGATGTACTGATGAATGAATGTGTGGTAGACTTCACCACATTAATTTAACTTTAGATCAGGAAACAAGACCGACATGGAAAAGGATAAGCAAAAGACATCGTTACACATAAAATATGTATTTAACAAGATGTACAATATCAAACAACGATGTGAAAGAAAGCATGCATTTAAGTAAGAAAAGGTTGAATAAAACAAGAGTTGTCTCTCTTTAACTATATTTTTAGTATTCCAAAGTTCACTGGAAGAATGTTTATGAGAGTTCTTATAATGACTGTTCTCAGAAGATTTTGCTGTGTAAGAAAAGATTGTGTGAGTGTATAAGGAATGTTCAGCATGTGAGTGGTGTGTGTGAGTGAAAAGGTTGGCGCATGGTTTCAACTGTCGTGGATTCGTTTGGCAACTGAACTCTCACTAATTAGCTAAGGAAAATTTTTGCTTATAAGTGACTATAAGCTTCCTATCGCTGCGCCGGAAAAAGTTACTCTTCACGTGCAGTCGATCTGATTTTGGGGCATTGACCAATCAGCGAACGAGTTTTGAGGAGACTTAAGAAAACTTCAGCGATCCGTTTCTCCCAAAAATGCACAAAATTGACTACATGAAAATAGAGCGATTACAAAATTGTCGCATTCATGCGATTTATAAATTGTCGATAAGAACGTAGTGGTGATTTATTAACCAATGAATGCTTGTCGTTGTATGTGATTTGTATTTGCGTGTGTACGTATGTGTGTGCGATGTAGATCGGCACAAATGTATACTGGATTGACATTTAGATTTTCATTGTGATTTGGTCATTTTTATTCTAATTGCTATTGGTCAGTCTTATTTTTCCGTCTAAATTCGTGTTTCGTTATTTATTTACTTTAATGTTATAAATTGTTATATAATTTATTTATATTCTATTTTACAGAGTGAAAACATGACGCAAAGTTTATAGAAGAAAGTAAACTTGAAGACTACAAAAGTATTACTATTATGTATTATATTTGTATTATTTTTCCATATATTTTAACAAGTATTCAATAAATTTTTTATCGTGAAAACTTTGAGTTTGTATTATTCACTAAGAATATTAATCTCCATCATTCCGTGGGTGTGGTGCGTGACCTCGCAAACATTTTACCGGTGTTAAGCGATGACACCTTATGATAAACGCTTCTCACATTCTACAACATGGCGAGCATATTTATATAAAATTACAAATATATATTACGATTGGATAATTATCCGAAAATGATTAAAGCATTTAAGAGACATCTTCACTCAGATAAACTGTAAATGCCCAAAGGATTTTTTTAAATCAGTTCAACCAAAGCAAACGGTTACTGGGGGTGAAAGAGAACGAAAAGAGAATGGTTGCATTGTGCCAATGTAGAGAATTTGGCAAGTTTTATAAAAGCTTAATTTGAAATACAAGTTTTTCTCCTCACCACTAGTGACGGTAGGAAATGCACAATTATCTCAGTTATAAAGTAATTCTGTTAAGCTAAACACATCATAGAGACAGTTACACGCATATAAATATTCAGCTGTGTGCATGTTTTATCTTTTTCGCGCTTATGCATTTTGCGAAGTAAATTAGTTCAGGACATTACATAAACATATGACTTTGTGGCGTGCTAATGAGATTTGGTATAAAATTGTTAAGAAGGCTTTGGTGAAGGTTGCGTTTTTGATTAGCACATTACATTTAAATTTTATAAAGAAACACAAAGAAGGAATAACAAGAGATTATTCAGTAATCAACAATAATATGTATTGAAAAACAAGCTAGTACAACGATTGTGTTTGGTGAAACAAAGTTAAGAAAGAGGAAGTAGTTGCCCTTGTACTGATGTGAGATTGTAAATATGTGTTAAAATAACTTTCTTGTTTAAAATGTTCAGAGTTCAGCAATATATGATAACTGAGTTTAAGTATGAGAAAGTTGTACAAAAGAATGATAGAATTCTGAGTTGGTTACTTGGCTTTTTGGACAGACAGTTCACAGCGTAGTGCAATTGTAATTTTGTGTCTGTGTGTGTGAGTAGAAGAATCAGAATTCACGCACGTGGTTGAGCTCCGGAGATTTACTATTCTACTACTGTTCTTTTCTTTGATTTTCGTGTTATTTATACTTTCTGAATAAGCTCCAGGAACGAGAGCGGGAAAAATATTCAAAGGAGTGTTATATTATATTATTGGTCAAAAATCAACCAATCACTGATTTTTTTCTAAACCAGGTTTGGCAAAGTAAACATCAGAAAATTTGATGTGGTTCATGCGATGCATAAATTGTCCTATAGAAAATAGTGCTTATTTTGTATCCAATGGCTATTGAGTATTTTGTGGGCGTGGTGTATGTAAACAACCGCTACAACTTAATTTATAGGTATTAAGGTTCAAGCCAACATTGGAATACAAATATTTAAATATATAATAACTTTAAGATCCATAGGAATTTTGTTAAATTGTTTTCATTCTTTATGCAAATAAACTGAAGCAATTATTATTTTGATTTTGGGCCGTTTACTTTAGCAGTTAACGATAATACTGGGGCTATGCGGAATGGCAGAGTCTCGGCTAGGGAGGTAGACAGCTACACGACCGCGTGTATACGGGGTCTACAGACTCGGAATCACCCCACATAAAATAACCTGCCTTGTGCAACATCCCGCCTTATGAGGTCTTAGATAAATATCGAAAGCATACCCAGCTGGGGAAAATGCTTTTTTCTTCTTTTTGTGCTATATTTTTTTGTAAAAAGCACGTAATATTTTTGCAAAATCTAATTATTTTAAAGTTACTATTTTTCGAAACCAATGTTTGGAACAGATATTGGATTTTTAAGAGATTTTTAAAGTGTTTTAACTTCTCTTTTGTCGTCTATCAAATTCGCTATTCGAACTACGCGAAAGTGAATTTTTTTGTTTTTTACTTTTCTGTGTAATTTCTAAAAATGTCTTTATTTAAGAGTGTAAAATATTTTTTACGAATTAACTTTAGGCCTTTATCTTTCAAATAAAACTACAAAAATATTACTTTATGCAATAAATATATATGCCATCCATTCATGTTCTTTCAGACTCAGTAACCTGTTGTGTATTGTCTTCTTGTCTTTATTACCTGGCTTACGGCGAAATAATTTTAAAAATGTTAAAGCAAAATAGAATTTATTCCGTGATGATGTTCGCGAAACAGAACCAATCACATTTTTCATCGATTAACCAACACATAATATTCTCACCGGAAGAACAATGTGTTTTGTCCTGTACAACTATATTTTGGTTGGCAAATTTTCTTTTGCATTTTTTTTTTTTTTTTTCATTTTTGAACTACGATTTCTTTAATGCGTAGTGTCCTTGTAGAACATAGGCGATCATGGCTCCACACAGAGTCATTCTACGTGTGTGTGTGTGTGTGTGTGTGTGTGTGTGTGTGTGTGTGTGTGTGTGTGAGAACTGGCATGACATTTTCGGAAAGAGTGGTTTCTCATTGTTTTTTATTTTGTTTTGATTTTTGCTTGTTTTTAGCTTACCTTCTCTTAGGCTGGTTACCCACAAAGGCTAAAGAACCCAATCAATCCTTCTATTTAAGCCATAGCTGGAAGCAAAAGAAATCGATCATTTATGCTGTTCTCAAAGGCATTTGAACGAAAGTGAACGTAACACTAGGCAGCAATTTCAACTCAACTCAATTTAACCTTCGCCGCCGATAACCGTTACGCTACTAGTACATCTAATTTGGATTGCTATAGTGAATTTAAAAAAATAAACATTTTAGCCCCCAATAATACCTAAATAAATTGGTAATTATGACGCTGCTAAAGAAATTTTTATTCGGTAAAAAAACACAAACAAATAGTTCAAACAAATGTTTAAGGTAACATTTAAATAGGTACCTCCAAATGTTTTCTAAAAAAAAAAAAACAGCAGACCATGATGAAAAAAAAAACCAAACTTGATAAAAACAAAGTTTTATCGTCAAAATGTATGTTATTGTTAAGAGGAAAGACCTAAGTATTTTTTATTATTATATTCATTTTTCTTTAATCCTTTCTAGCACGTTCGAAATTTCAGTTAAAAATCTTGTTTTTCTTGCGTCAGGTGAGCCAAAGATTAGTATAGGAAATTTAGAGTCTTTTTGTGGTAAAAACACATTGTTTTGGAAATTCTTGCAAAAATCAAATAATTGTCGGATTTTAATGAAATTTTCGAGACTTATTTACAAATAAATGAAATTATTTAAAAAGATTTTTTTTTAGAAAATATTGGTAAAAATATTTTTTCCATGTGTTACCCCAACTTAATTTTATAAAGATATTATTTCAAGAAAATTCCAGCCTCGTCAGATTTATATTAATTAAAAGCAGGTCTCCTTGGAGAATTTAAATCATCAATTTATCTTTATAAAACAGAAACGCCATTTAGCGAAAATCTGCTCTGAAGTGTAAAATAAAAAAGGCAATAAAATTATGAAAACCTTTTAATTGCTTTTATAAATAAAATATATCAAGGACATAATTGAATTTTGATGATTACTGAATTTTTACAAGAAGTGTTTTCACTTTTTTATTTTAATTTTTTAAAATTCTGTATTAATTTCAACATTTTACATGATAACATTATTAAGTAAAAACTATATTTACTAATTATAAATGGAAAAGTTTAGTACAAATCGTCAACCACCAATATTCTTAAAGAATTTTGAATTTCTTTTTTATGTGTATAAAAGTGCCGATTTTTGTAAGTACGGTCGACCATACATGACATTATCAGAAAATAAGAGCGGTAACTATAGTAAATTTTAAAGTCAACATTTCTAAAATTTAATAGACATTAGATTACGGTGAATATTTTCCTAAATTTTTAAGATTACTGAGCACTTAAAAATTGTATAAAATATGACATTTACTTCAATTATATGTTAAAGTCTCGTTAGAACAAAATTATATCTGTCCAGGCACATCAATTACATTGCGGTGAAAGAAGACTAAAAAAGGGAGATAATCAGCTATTTTAGCAAATCAGTCAATTTAAATTAGTTTTTGAAATACAGTAATTCATTTTACTTATTGGAAATATTAAATTTATTAGCTTGAAATTAAAACTGAAATAAAATCTTCAAGATTCACTTTACACCATAGGTATCACGTTTTTTGTGGAGTTCCCTACGTTTAATTTATAAGAGCACACAACAAAGACAGACGACACAGGCTGAATTTAAGAAAAAACGATAAATTTATTATTAACACAAAATTGAAAGAATTACACAAAATAAATGCATTGTGTGCCAAATGACAGCCAATAACATGTATGTAAAAATAATCAGTGCAAATGGAATATGCTCTTTTACAATAAAAATTATACGGTAGCATAAGGTCCCCAGAAAGAAAACTACATATAAAATGCAGAAAAGAAGAAAACAGTTCTCTGAATAGTTTTCAAAGAATTGGTACAATTTTCGAAGCAAAGTTCATGGCAACAGCGCAGAATAAAACAATCACACCAGTCGAAGACTTTTGCTTGGAGTCGGAGCGACTTTGATGTACCTACCAATTCTCGTCCGGGGGTTGTCAATTTTTTTCTGCATTATTTTTCTTTCTGAACCGGAGCGACCTGGGTCCCATCAGCAGATGTTCGCCGACTCCTTAAATTAACTCTTGACCCCCATTTACTACAGGTAGGCTACAAATTCACTTCTCCGAATTTGGAGGGAAACCTTTTGATTGGTTCTGGATGAAAAAAAAAACAAACGCAGCTCTTTTACGACAAATCAAAATGTGCCAAAATTATTTTTGAAATTCAAAAATTAAGCAAGAACTCAATGCAGCATCTGTTTTCTCTCAGAAAAGCAGACAATACGAGCTCAAGAAGGTTAAATTTCTTATACTGCTAACTTCCTGGCGAATAATTTGGTAACTTTTAGGTTGAGGGATATTTGAGAAAATTATAGTCC